AATACTTTTCTCTGATAACGCGCCAAATCTTGCTTCAAACAAAATAAACAAGTTTGTGAAGAAAAAAAAAACGGCATCAGACATCACATTAGTGCACCATACCATCCTGCAACTAACGGGCATGCAAAACAAATGGTGTGCAAAGAAAAAAAAAAAGCCCTTCTGAAGCTTACGAAAGAAGCAGTTTAGTGAAGAATCGCCAGGTTGTTGTTCCAGCAGCACGCGACGGTCTTATCTTACACGGTAAAAAAAACCCGCCGAAGCAATATTCGGCGGACGAAGGGCCACACCCCTCGATCTCATGATACTATGGCTTACTAACGAAGATCGAGAGATTCCCAGATCGGGAGTAATTGCAGTTTATTCGGTCGGACAACTCGTCAACGTAAGGAATTTCAGCGGAAGTAGGGCCTTCCATGTAAAACTTGAGTAGGAAAGGCTCTATGTTGGTTGATCAGATGGTGTCATCTCTCTGAATACGTTGAATATCAATGCCCTTGAGTGTAAATATAACTAAATCACAAAACTCTCTTTGTGTATTGTGTAACTGCCCTTGTACTTGATAGTAGAAGCTATGGTGGTGATTGGGATCTTTCACACCAGCCTCCTTTTTCTTATTTTTCGCCTCATACTCGTTTGCGGTTTAAGTATGCTTCAAGAATCTTTTGCAACGGGGACACTTTACGTCAACAAGGCCATTTGTTCCAAGTAGTCAATCAGGGAATGCTGCTAGAAATCCGTCCCTCCTATTAACGAATAAGCCGCACTTCTGCACAGTGCAGTTTTCCTGTTCCACGTACAGTTGTAAAGCAGCATCCTCTTTGATTCTACCATATTCTGTTGCGGGTGAAGAAAGTCTTTGGGTACACGATACTTGAAACAAGTCTGGCACTGTACGTTGTGGTGGGACACCCACTAATGTCGTCGTCCTTATAGAGCCTCATCATTTAATCATTACCTCGTCACCTCATATTGCTCTTCATCAACAGTAAGTACAATAGGCTACCGCCATATTACAATCCAAGAATTGAAAAATTGAGTCGTTCAGTCCTTTAACAAGTTTATTATTTATGTAATGTTATTACGTTACATTACCTCGAGACGATCGACGTCTCGACGCACAAAGGGGGGGGGGGGGGGGGGGTCGGTGGCCGAGTGCATGGTCTAGCGCACATCAGCTCGGAGCACTTGGAGCGAAAGCTCGCGCTGCAGAAGCCACACCGTCCCTGCCCGTTTCGATCTGAAAGAGCATCGTACCGGCGTGCGGTCGTGTATCACTACTGCGAGGTGCACGTTAAAGACACCAGGTTTGCGGTTGTACCGCACTCACTAAATTGCTCATCTACAGCTGAGAGTCAGACACCCACTAAGGCGGACTAACTTCCGGCTGTACAGACATACACACAACAATTTGCAATTAGACGCATAATAACAAAGAGCACAGCGTGCCGCCTCTTTTCTTTGGATGCCTTTTTTTAAACCAGCGCGAGCTCGCGCGTTCTCTCTTTTGAGACGGCTAGAACGGTCGCACATAGAACCCGCGTTTCTCCTACCCGGCCGCTTCCTCCCCTCATTATATGTAGTTGGTTGAATAATGGTGTATTATTCATATTTACTTTCAGTTTCAGTCAGGGACAAGGAGTTTCGCGGGAACTAGAGCAAATAAATTAGCTGCGCTTAGAGTATCGGCACTCTCTTCCCCGACAGTGTTGTGAACGCCGCCGTCCTGGTGTTGCGCAGAGCAGGCGCAACTGCCGATCGTCATGATTCAAAAGTGCGACATCCTCAGCATTAGATTCGGTGTTAGGAAGCTCACGTAATGTTGCTTTGCTTTGTCGCACACTGCTTACAGTGGAGGACGGAAAAGCGTTTCTTGATTGATTGATTGATTGATTGTGATTTCAGATAAAGCTTCAAATAACTGGAAACCATGATTTTAAGGCACAATATGGCCAAGTGTCGCTACTCTGACTCGTAGCTTATTTAATGACACTATTCATGCTCTTGTTCAAGAGGCTTGTAATACCTAAAGCCCCTTGATAAAGGCGTTTTTTACAAGTACCGCCAACCATTGTTGTGGAACCGCGCGAATTCAGTGCTGCGCCGCCATTCGCTTCCAAGGGCCGCTCGAGATGCGGGTCTCGTGCACTCGCGCATTTGACGCTACTTGCAGGACAAACGCAAACATATCGAGGGGATTTAGTAATACCTGGAGGGGCCATGACGTAAGCCCCGTGGATTCCACAAGCCACTACCTTTTTAAACCTGCCTCTTTCTCGTTTTTCCCGCTTGTGCCTGTAAATTAGCTACGGTTCAGAGTAACGACACTTGACCATATTGTGGCTTAAAATCATGGTTGCCAGTTGCCTGAAGTTTTATCTAAAATCACAGGAAACGCTTTTCCGTCCCCCACAAATGTTTAAACAACCCGCGACAGAGCATTGCAATATTGCATCAGTTTCCTAGCACCGCATCTAATGCTGAGGAGGTCGTACTTTTGGATCATGACGATCGGCAGTTGCGTTTGCTCTGAACAAGACTCAAAATGGCGGCGCCCAAAACAATTTTGGGGAACGGAGTGCCGATACTTTAAAGCTCATTTAGTGACTCTAGGCATGAAATGAACTCGGGTTATTATTTTCCTCTTCGTCTTTATTGTTTATTGATTTCAATCATGTCGAATAATGAACACATTATATCACGCTACGCGTGTGTAATTATTTGTCTTAGATTTATTAACCTGACCCAGTACTTAAACCATTCATTTATCGATAGTAAATCTTCCAACATATTTTTTAAATGTGAAGGTAAAAAGACACGGAGATTGATGATGATACAGACGCCAACGCCGCCCTCGGAATTTTTTTGAACACTAGAAATCAGCAGTTTGTCTGCCATACGCCAGGTAGCGCAACAAAACACCCAAACAGTTTTTAATTGTTTTTAAAATTAGCTGAGCTCTTCACCTATTAAGAAACCAAAGCAGGATCATTGTGGAAATTTAATACATCGCAATTTGTATCTATTCCAAACAATAAAGGTTATTAGATGCCAATAAATCTGTTTGATGTCCAAAAAAGATATGCGTCAAAAACAGGTAAGTTTGAAGGGCTCCTGGAGCGTTATAACTTTGAAAATGAAAAAAAGCCATCGTCCACCTCTTGGGCAACCATTCTAGCTCTAAATCTTATAAAAGATTTTATCATAGTTTCATTATTTCCTCAGCGGCATTTGAAGTACCATGACTCGAAGCACAAAAAAGTGCTAAGTTTGATATAAAATATCTAAACAAAAAATTTTTACACAACATTAAATTTTTTTCTGCATATTACCAATTATAGGCACTACATTTGTAGCTAATTTCATTGCCCTAGCGTTTGTTGTTAAAAACATATTTGTGCTGAAAAATGCCAATTTTAGGGCAATATTTGGAGGGATGAAAAAAACAAAGTTGTGCAAATACCAAAAAAGTGTATCGTTACATTCTGCTCCGACGTCATCTTAACAAAACTGCTCTATTGGAACAGTGCTATCTTTAATGGATCGTTCATAAAACATGAACTAGCGGAGCAAGTGAGGGTCCGCGCCATCATATTCGCAACGCTACAAATGCGCATGTACAGTAAAAACCAACACATACATAATATCAAATGAAAGGGGATCGCATTGCCTTTCGAATGACATCAATCCCACAAAACAGTATTTAAAAGGAGATGAGTAATGACCTGCCGAAAAGTACCTAAACTGCCACATTCAGTGGAACCGTGGCCTTAATACCGGCTCGAGGATCCGACCGGTTCCTAGTGTTCCGAAGGCTTTTGGCGCGGGCTTGGCTGGCGATTCGGCCATTTGGCGGTATGGCAGCGCGAAGTGGCTCCCGTTCTGAACTGATCTTTACCCCGTGTTTGCTGTCGTTTGTGGCCAATGAAGTGTTATGCCGAATTAGTGCTTAATCGCGCAGCAAATGCAATGCGAGCCGCCCTGGCCGCCCGCTTCATTCAGCCTATCCAACACGTGCTTTAGTGGCGCCCTCTCGAGCCGTCGACATGCGCCCTCTCGAGCCGTCGGCAGCCGTGAGCGCTCGATGAGCTCACTACTCCTCCTCTAGTTCACGGCCACTCAAGCCAGGAACTACGACGTCATGAAGGAGGTTATTTCTTGCTTGTTTTTGTAATTCTAATGTGCCTATAATTTTTAAAATGAAGCGAAATTTGAGAAAAGAAAACTTCCTTTAAGTTACTACGTTCAGTGCGCTCAGGTTCGGTGCAAATTAAAAACCAGACAAAAAGTTGTTGCAGGGCCCCTTTAAGGATTACACCAATCGGAATCAGTTGTTCTTAAATCCCGAATAGACCATCGTTAATTCTAAAATTGAGAGCATACTGGTGCTTTTCCAACTCCGCAATACATTGGTTGATTTTGTGGCACCATGCGAAGTGGCGTCAGTTCAGCGTTAAACGTGGACCGTCCCAGCAAAGGACAATTCAGAAATCACATCATCCATCGTCGCCAAAATCTGTGCTGCATGTGCAATAAGCATCATCTCCAGGCAACGTTTTCAACTCAAACTGATTTATTCAATGATGTGATACCTTCAAACACCGTGTCTTCATTATGGTGAGAATGGTCTCTTCGTCGTCAGTACAGTGGCCACAAAGCGCCTCCCGAAGACGAAGAAGCTAACCTCAGTGAGCGCCTCGCTATGCTGCTGATTGAGGAATCCAAGTCTCAGACAAAAGAAAGAAGAGATTAACTGAAGAAAGACGTTTAGACTAGTTTAGAGATGGCCTGCACCCCACCCACGCCTAGCAAAACAAATTACCTGTATTCAAAGCCGTACGCTGGGCAGCCAATCCAAATCCAGGTCGGCCCGAGAAAGCTAGCCACCCGCGCGGAGTTTGCGCTCGAGCTGTAGCCGCTTGTTCCAAAAGAGCAACGGGCTGGCGGCGTCCAGGGCGCGACGCTGTTCGTGGTAAACTTGCGGGGTCTCGTCCTGCAAGATGGCCGCCCCCGTGACTGCCGCTGCAGGAGCCGCGGCGGCGGCGGGTCCTCCGAACGGTAAGCAGCAGTACGCCGCACTCATCTTTCATGACCGGATTTAGACCAGCTTGCTCAAATGCAATCATTCGTCGCTGCGCGCAAATATACTCGACCCTATTTTTAACGTATACCCTCTATTTTGTGAATGTCTTATACGTTAGTGCAGTGCTTCTCAAATGGGGGTCGGCGAAAGCATTCTAGGCGTCCGCGAAGCCCTACCGCATCAGTCAAGCCTAGCAATAAAAGCTTACTTTTTACAGATTAAGAAAAAACGTTCCAATTTTCGGTCGAGTTTTCTCGTCTTGGTTATATATATTTATTACCATCATCATCATACATAACCTATACATTTCCCTTCTCCTCATCACAAACGGGGTCCTTTATCATCTCCACCTGTCCAGAAGGGGTCCGCGAAACATCACTCGTTGAGAACCATTGCCTTAGAGAATACAAACCAAACTGGTGCCGTCAACGATAAGTGAACAGCTCGAGTATACATAGCTTGCATGTGGCGTCATTCGCGGCCATGTCAGTATTTTATGCGCCGCGAGCGTTCTGTTCGCGGTGTTAGTTGCACACCGAAGAAGTTGTAGTTCGAAGAAACTAGTAAGTAGAAATAGCCGCGTCAGTACGCAGTAATGGCGACACTTGCAAGCTATGTTTAGTATTCACTGGCGGCCATAGCTGCGTGCGCAACTGCTAAGCGCGTGATGACGGCGAGCTTCCACAGTTTTTTTGCAACGGGCATTCCACACCACCAAGATTTTATGTCTTAGCATCTTATTTAAGTGAGCTCGCTCTGAGCATGCACTCCAGACATCGCCCTGAAATATGGCGTCCAGTGCATACCCCCTATATAAGCGCGAACAAAATATCGCCCGCGTTTTCTGTTTTAGTTTAAAATTTCCCATCCACTTTATAAAAAAAAAAACTAGTACTCAAAAAGTTAACTTTCGAAAACGTCGCTTGAGCTCTATAAATATATGTGCACACCAATAGCCCGTTTCAGTAAAATCAAGATTGTTTTCGCGCTAACAGTTTCGCGCAGTGTACATGGCTTGCATTGATGTCACATTGGCTGACATTGTACTAGTCTTGCTGCTCAGCGAGCGTCGTAGCTCTGTAGTGCGGTATATCAGACGCTGCGCTACGCGTGGGTCCACAGCTTGGTGACTCAGCATTTATCGCCCGAGTGATACGCGCTGGAAAGGTCTATAAAGCCCAGTGTTGGACAAAATACTTGATAAAAGTATTTAAGTTACTAAATACCTGCTTCATAACGTATTTAAAATACTACTCAAGTTACTTTTACTCTAAAGTACCTTGAGTAGAGTACAAATACCTAGAAATGTAATTCAATCACTTTTGAAGATACTTCCATATTGCCTAATTTCAATCGACATCAGTGACAACGACAATTATAAAGCTGCGCAGATCTGATTTACCGAATGGTTTATTAGCATGCAACTGCACACAACGGGGGCGGGGAAAGTACGGGGTTATTTTATGCAGTACAACTATAAGGAGCAGTATATTGTAACAAATGACGAATGATGAGGCGGCAAATAACTGAAGATTATGGACGTTTAGTGGGGCGAAATTCTGCCCAAAACAAAATAGAAAAAGGCTACCGCCGCAGGCGTCGATGTCGGCGAAACAGCAGGATCGAGCGCTGGGGCGAGACTGACTCTGGATCGCCACTCGGAGAACCTTTTGTACTTGCATGGGTTCCGGGAACCTTCGGCGTAAAACGTTGGGCTCGTAGAACATTCGTAACTCGATCAGACGCCAACTTACGAGAATGCCAACTTGAAATATAAATAAAGGAGGAGCCCGCTCCCTGGAATAGAACCCGGAGCCTCCCGGCGAGAGCCAAGCGCGGTAAAATTCTGCCACGCGCTCGCTCAGCAACACGCGTGGCAATGTTACCGGATACATATTACAAAACATTTCTGAAACCACAAGAAAGACGTCGCTTTAGCTATTGGGGAGGAGATCAGGCAGTGGCACCCGAAGCGGTTAACTTTATGACTACACGGATGGGGCAACGAATACAATGACTCAGTGCTCGGCTGCCGAGCGCGGCGTCAGCGTTTGGCTGGAATGTGTGTTCTCCAGTGAGGGGGAAGAGGGTCTCATTTGTTACCACTACGGTTTGCATAAACAATGCAGCATACACGGGGCCCAGCTCAGCACAAAAGCCCAAGTGGGTCAAGCTCGCATCCTCTGACGACTGCTTTCGGGAGAGATCCGGCACTTAACGTCACTTTGATTATTGTTAGTATTTGTACATTACACTGTGCGCCTACAAGGCCTGTGGGAATGTGCACAGGTCTTGTTTTGGGTAAACACCGACATGATTAGGCAACAAACGGGTAAGAGCACCTTGAAAATAGTGACATCGCTGAATATCACTCCTGCGGCACACGTTAGACGCATCATTTAACTACAAATCATATTCCCTATATTCTCCATATAGGGAATATGATTTGTAGTTAAAGGAGCTGTGCAACGATATTTAATTGGTATGTTTTTCTCTCTACACGAGCTTACTGGCACACCTGGGACTCAAGGATACTCACACGCAACGCCACTGGCCAAGAAACTCCTTTGTTCCGGTGTAATTTCAAGGACAAAAGCCATCATTTTCATTCAATCTCTCCTTTGCAAAATTTGATGACGTAACTCGGGGATCGCAGTACACCCAAGTGACGATATTTGAATGCGGTTCATAGATTGGACCCGAGCATTGCGTGGGCACTCGACTTGGGCTCGTGACAATTGCTAGCTCGAGAAGCATTCGGGTTGTGACCCGTGTCCAATCGCTGCAACGACGACAACAGCCGAGCCATAACAATGTCTGGAACTCAGCGCGTGTCCTGCGCTTTGCCAACCCCAGCGCGTGGCTATGATCAACACTGGCGGCATATAATCGGCTCCAGATCACGTGGCCGCTTGTTCTGGCTGCGAGTTGAGGGGGTGAACGCTGCTCGTTTCTCTTAAATTTTTTTCTGGGACTTCTATTACGTGGGGTGAAAAACGAACGCGTGTTTCATAGGTCATTAACGTTAGGGATCCGTTTTAAGCGGTATTTGTGCACAGTACAAAAATTGTTGCATCGGTCCTTTAAACGATGCGTCTAAGGTGCGTGGGATAACAAATAGAACCCACATAATAGCCACGGCAGTGGTCGCACCTTCTTAAAGGAGCTGTGCAACGATATTCAATTGGAATGTTTTTCTCTCTACACGAGCTTACAGGCACACCTGGGACTCAAGGATACTCACACGCGACGCCATTGGCCAAGAAACTCCTTTGTCGAGGTGTAATTTCAAGGACAAAAGCGATCATTTTCATTCAACCTCTCCTTTGCAAAATTTGATGACGTAACTCGGGGATCGCAGTACACCCAAGTGACGATATTTGAATGCGGTTCATAGATTGGACCCGAGCATTGCGTGGGCACTCGACTTGGGCTCGTGACAATTGCTAGCTCGAGAAGCATTCGGGTTGTGACCCGTGTCCAATCGCTGCAACGACGACCACAGCCGAGCCATAACAATGTCTGGAACTCAGCGCGTGTCCTGCGCTTTGCCAACCCCAGCGCGTGGCTATGATCAACACTGGCGGCATATAATCGGCTCCAGACCACGTGGCCGCTTGTTCTGGCTGCGAGCTGAGGGGGTGAACGCTGCTCGTTTTTCTTAAATTTTTTTCTGGGACTTCTATTATGTGGGGTGAAAAACGAACGCGTGTTTCATAGGTCATTAACGTTAGGGATCCGTTTTAAGCGGTATTTGTGCACAGTACAAAAATTGTTGCATCGCTCCTTTAAAGTAGGGCGTTGACAAAGGCACTCAGCGTTGGGGGACGCTTTGTTGGCATTTTGAGAGGTCATCCAGCTCGTAGTTCGTTTCCTGTCCTGTTCTCTGCTTATCAATAGCCGCTAACAGACCATGTTCTCGAGAGAAATAAGTGACGGACTGACGACAAAAAGAATAGAAACTAAAGAAAACCTCGACGTTCCGCAGTAGCGAAGTCAAATGTACAAAAAAAAAACAAAAAAAAAGTATTTTTTTTGTGTCCACTTTTCATTATCTTCTATTTGTTATTTTCTTGAGACTCAAGTCTGCATTGATGTCGTAGGTCGTTTCCCGGTCTGCGTTGCGCCTCAGTGTGGCAATCCTTACTTCCGTAAAGCCACCCCTATTGTTTGAGGATTTCTTTGGGAGGAAACTCTAGGAAACAGAAGGCGCCTTTCAGAAGGCGAGGGGAAAAGCTTCCTTGTAAGAACTTTAAGCAGAAATATGAGTCCCAATCGGCAAAAAAGCGATGTTTACACGAGCTCAATCAAAGTCATCGTAGCTAATCGCAGCTAACAGAATTTGATCGCTCGAAAGGATTTTCACGTTTGCTCGTGCCACGCCCATGCCACTTCATACCGAAAAGTCAGAAAATGGCGGAATGTAAAAAATGCATTTGAGATAATGAGTACAAGATACTCAGAAATGTAATTAAAATAGAGTATCAAATACTCTCGATCAAAAGTATTTACAAGATACCAAGATGCTTCAAAAAGTATTTGAAATACAGTATCTTGAGTAGAGTATTTGAGATAGGCACAAGTCTGATGAAGCCCCTTCAGTAGGTAACCGGACAAAAGCTCACCGGACGAAAGCTCACCGGACAGAAGCTCACCGGACAAGAGCTCATTGGACAAAAGCTAACCCTCTTTTTTACAAACCCAAACAAAAACTCACCTCTTTTTTTTTTTTTTTTTTTTTGCTACTTTGGGCGAAACACGGGCTGGGATAAAGTGCGGATGCGATGGATATTGCACCATTTTTAGGAGAACTGGCATCACATCCTATGCAAAGGTGTCCACAAATAAGACATAACAGGCAAAGAAGCAACAATTTGGGACCAAAATCTGAGTCACTGAAGCTGAGTGGAGCTGATAAGATCAAGCTTGCTTGACTCAAGGTATGCTGGAGCACCCTTGAGCCAAGCCCAAAAAACTTAGTGAACCGAAGTTCTTGAACCCGATGAGTGACCGAAGAAGCGAGGTCACCCTTTGTCGTCTGCTTATGTCAAGCTAAACGCGCACATAAAGGTTAGGCACAATGTCTCTCCATTACTAATGCATGGGTTTTCTTGGGGTTCAGGTTAATATTTAAAGTGACGGGTCAGGAAAATTAAATTCATTCCGTCATTGAGCGTCGCAAATGTATTTGAAATAAAGGATTACCTCAGGGTGTTGTGAAAAGGAAACTGAAGCAAAACTGTAATATACAAACCATTGAGTCGCGAAGTTTTAAAGATATTTTCAAGAAAACGGGAGTGCTGCTGTTTGGACAGATGACTAATTGAGAAATCTGTGCGAGATTTTGGATAGGCTCGCGTTCCTCCCAGCGTGTTCCCGAAGGACTAACCTACATTAGAGAAAGGTATACCGGTGACATCGGCGACCTGCTCCACTACTTTAATTGCACGTATGTCAACGGCCCCTTCCGTTATGCTTCTGCTCCTGCGGCGGCACAAAGAACGAACCCTTCCCTTTGCCTGACTGTGTGCCGACGATGACCCGGGTTTTCCCCGGAACGGTGGAATATGTACGACGCCACTCTTTAAGACATCGGACATACATCTGCGAAGGATGGAATACCGGGTTCCAGAAGTTTGCCGCCCACGCCCATCCAAGCGTCTGGATGCCGACTGAATGTCCACAGTAAAATCAGGCGTTCGTTGCCACGGCATTGACACAAGCCTGCAGAAGTTAAGCCCCAGAGAAGCGGGTGCGAAAGCCCACACTGCGCCTACAGTATCGTGTGAAAAATATTTTCGAGGGATTACAGGTACACCCAGATCTGCCAAGGCTGCTGGAGCTAGTAAAGAACTGCATTCGCTTCTAACCAATTGATAAATAAACTTGTTTCTACTCTAAACAACAGACAATGCGCCTGTCACATTTTAATTTATCGTTGCATTGTAGTGTCGCACGCATGCATCTAAGTTGTCCGCACACGTGTTAAGACCAACATAAAACTTTTCTCCCGGTGAGCTTTTGTCCGGGTCTGTGAAAAAATGGGTGAGCTTCTGTCCGGTGAGCTTTTGTCCGGTGAGCTTCTGTCCGGCGAGCTTTTGTCCGGGATTCCCTTCAGTAAGCGTGTCCCAAGACAAGGCCGTAGTGCTGACATTTTTGCGTCACCAGAGAAGGCCAACGTGGAGACATATTGGAAACGAGTGCTGCTCAGCGCTCGGCTTCTAATCAGGTTTGAGCCGAACGTTGACGCAGTCGTCGTGTCCAATCTGTGCCCAGCATTGATTGCGCCATCTCATACAGCACTACGGCCTTGTTATCTAGGAGGCGTTGATAAAGCCCTTTCAGTAAACGCGTCGCGTGGTCCTTCCAGCGGCAGCCCAAGAGGAGAAGAAGCGGTCTGCCGCCAAGGTGGTGACCACGCTGTTCCCCCGCGTGCCCAAGGTCACCACGGTGCTCCTGGAGTTCTTCATCCGGCGCGAAAGCAAGGTGGAGCTATCGCGGGAGCCCCTGTCCCACTTCTGCCAGGAGCAGGTGGTGCTGGCCGCCCAGGATATCCTGGAGAAGTTGAACAAGCAGGTCATCACGTACCAGGACGTGCGCGACTCTGCCGAGAATCTGATCGGTCTGCACAACCTGAGCTTCAAAAAGGCGCCCGACATCGCCAAGGAGCTGGGCGACAGCGTCCGAAAACTGACCATCATCGTGGGCGAGCTGGCCACCTCCCTAGAGAAGATGTCCGACGTTCCGATTACCGACTGGATGGCCATCGGCGACACCATCGTCGCCAAGACCGAGAAGCTCAACTTGGCCGAGATTCCGCCCTTCCATTCGTTCATTCCCAAGATGAAAGATTTCCTCTCCGTGAAGCTCCTCGGCGCCGGTGGTTTCGGGTGAGCCGATCGCGGTTTGAGATTCATTTTATTTTGTCGAATTCAACTTTTTAAAAAGAGCCTCCTAGAAGTCTCAGAGAGGCACTCGAGGTTTCGATAAGAAGTTAACCTTCTCTAGGCACTGCGGAAGTTTAATGTAATAGGGTTAATTCAGTGGTCACTCCGAGGCCACGGGAAATTTATAAGTGATTTCGAATACCTTTAACCGCTTTTGGGTTTTATATTTTATGTGTTTTCGTGCTTTATATAAATCAAAAGTAAGTTGAAAAACTGTAGTTAGAGTGGTAACCGACACCCTTATAACGCAAGTTTGTTTGTTTTTTTTTTTTTTTGTCAATGCGTACAAAGGTTTGATTGTCACTTGCGGCATTGTTCATGTGTACATTTTTTTTTTTCCATTCGCGAAATACTTTTGAAATTCTTTTTCTACCCACAATCAGTGTTGGCAGAAACGGATTACTTTATTCAGTAACGTAGCAACGTGCTCGTTAATTTTTCGAAACAGTAAGGGGTAACGTACTTACATTACTTATTTCAAATAACGGGTAACGTAGTTACATATTAGTCCTTACATATTTTTCCCAAGACCGGAAAAAAAAAGTACACTTAAATGTCTCTCTTGTTTCCATACTTCGTTTTATTTATACGACAGCGTTAAAAGGGTGCCATCATGTTTATAAACATGCGTGTTCCACCATTGCTGAACCAATCATAAACAAAAAATGGCCCAGTAACTTGCGCTTTGGACGCTGAGTGATTGGTCCTATCAGCTCGTAGTGTCGGCTGCTTGTGAACTTGAACTGAAACGAAGTATAGTCGCAGTGTCATTCATTATTGCACTCATTTCACAAACCTTCAAATTTTTGCCTGTCTTCTCTACACGCAAATAGCCCTATTTAAAAAAAATGCCCACGCACTTTGTTCCTGTGTAGAAAAACGCAATCGCAAAAAAGCGCTGTTCCCGTCAATGCATAAATTAAAAGTAACGCAAAAGTAACGTGCGTTTTTTTTTTTTTTTATCGATAACACTAACGATTTTTTTTTAAGTAACGGAGGTCGGTAACACGCACAAGTAACGAGAAACGTATTTCGTTTTTTTTTTTTTTTGTTTTTTTTTTTTTTTTATAACACCTACAACACTGCCCACAATCGATATAATTCCTTGCGTGTGAAGAATGCGGAACCCACAATAGCTTTCTCTTTTTCTATCATTTTCGGCGACGTGATATGAGGTTAAATGATGGAAATATCAAGCCTAGAAAAGATCCTTAATTATTCAGTTCAATAATAACATTAATTAAGATTTTGTTACAACCAGGAACAAACCATTTTTATTATTTCGAGTTATTAAAAGATAACAAACGAGGTGCACGGAACATAACTGCCGGTTCCTATAGTGACCGCTATGGCCACAGTTTATCATATTTTCTGCGATGCTCTCCCCGAAAAGCAAAGACGCGTAATTTGTTCGCATTTTAAAATAGCTCCGTGTTATATCATAAAATAACCTTAAGACAATTGAAATTCGCGACCGTTCACTTGCCCAACGGGGAACAACACGCCAGTGGAATTTTTTTAGCGCATTCTGAAGTGCTACTTTTTTGCAAGCAGTAAAATGTTCTATGCGTTTAGTCATTAAGCCGAAGAGAGAAAATATTTTACTTTTCACCTTTTCTTTTTTTTAATTCTGTGTGAATTTTTTTTAAGCTGATAGTATCTAGAGGATACCGAAACATCGCTTTCTATTTTCTGAAAGATTAAAAAAATGTTAGGAAACAAAGCAAAAATAATAATAAAAGTGTGTGCAGGTACTTTTCGACGCATGAGTGCACGTCAGTTTTAGATATAATGTCAATTCTTAAATTTCTTGGTTCCCCCGAAAGCCGGACACGTGAGCTTGACTCAGTCAGTAAAAATTTAAATTGACCTTCCCCCCCGCCCCTCTGATAGTAGCACTGATAATGCATGGAGCACTAAATACTTAGCTTACTTTCAACAAGAATGAACGCTGCCAATTGTTTTCAGAGCCGTGTACAAGGCCGTGTACAAACCAACGAACTTCGTTTGCACGGTAAAGCTGGTTGCCACAGACAGATTCCAAAGGCACAAACAGGCCGTGATTGACAAAGTGGTTGCCTCTGTCATCAGGAGTCCCTTCCTCGTCAAGTATTATTCCTGCTACGTTTCGAAGGTACACGCTGCACACCTTTCCAGACTAAACTATGGAAGAGAACAATGCTCGCGCATCTATGATATGTTGTAACGCTGTTGCAACATATCTACAGAAAAGCCTCCATCCCCAAAATTCCCGGAAACGAAACGACGTCACTACGCTCCCACTCGTGCGTTATGCTGAAGGCTGGCGATGTGAGAACTCAGATGACAAGAAAATAGTCCGCGTTCTCACATTGCCGACGTTCCGCCTGCTGCACGCACGGGATTTTTAGCGCACCCTCGCGCTTCCCAAGTGCTTCGAGCCTCCCGAAAATTGACTGATTTGGGTTTCTTTGATGACGTTGAGCAACTTTTCTAATAAAAACCATATGTTTATTTTCACTAATTAAAAAGTTGTTCAGTCATTTTCGGGTAATTATTTGTCTAATCAGAGCGTTGTCTGCAACCCCTAACGTCTGCCGTTGCTGACAGTCTTTTCCCGAAAAGGGTTACTTTTTTTCTCAATCATCCTTTCATAGGTGATTTTCGAAACTATTCGCAGAAACACCCGATATATTAGGCTTCGCCCTGCGTTTCTTATGCTATCGGTTACTATGGGTGGTGTTAGTACGGGTCACGGTGGAAGTAGAAAGAGGTGTCGTAACAAGGTCAGAAAGGGGAGAAGATTCCACTCGGTCGCGTAACTCCCGGTAGGGGTGCTGCCGGGTTGGGACTCCTAGAGTAACTGTATAGGCTCTGCTTTCAGAGCCGAAGTATCGCTTTCCTTTTGCTTGCGCCGCCAACTCCGCATTGGTGAAAAAGCGGTCAAGTGCGCCGAGCTGGATCCAACCATCATGCGGGAACGCGACCTTGATAGCGCAACGTTTCGGGCGGAGCATGTTTAATGCTTTGCGTTTGCGAAATATATATCCTAGCTAAACTTGAACTAACTGGAAGGTTCCTTCAATGGGGAAGGAACCTTCCCCATTGAACATTATGTGTAGCCACTGGGTACAGTATAATCGCGTTGTTTTATAACGCCAGAGATATTTTAAAACATGTTCCTAAAGTCTGGGAAGCAGACGACACGGAAGACGATCGCGTTGCTCGTGTCTGCGGCGCTTGCTGAGTGATACGCGACCGGCTTATCCGGGCACTCAGACAAAAACAACAACGCGCAGCTACGGCTTGCGAAAGGACGACGTTTTCTTTGGCTTCTACGTTCTACCAAGGGAATAGAGAAACAGGGAAAAAACGACGGGATGGCATCACACGCGTGGCGTGTCGTCGCACTATATCTTCTCTGCTCCGCACGCCGCAGCACGCTGCCTCACAGCCACGCCATAAGCGACGGTCGTTTCCCGCAGTGCAGCTTTGGATCCAACATGGCCGCCCTGAGAGCACCATTGCGATACTCTGCTTCGCAAGCGGAGCATATGCAATTACTCTAGCAACTCTTGCAGGCTCTGGGGGCTCCGCGTGCAGGCGAGGTCGCGCGCCTTGCGGCCTTGGAAATGATTGCGCAAACAAACACGGTTGCTCGAGCTCCTCCGAGCTCCTGTCAGGCTGCGCCATCTCACGACTTGTCTAAGAAATGGGGAGAGAAGTTTTGACTCACTTGCTCCGTCGAGTGGAAACGCTGCTCGGACGCCTCTATTTTCTTCCACCATAGTACGAACACACCATTTTTTTAAAGTCACTTAAATAAAAAAGTAAAAATGAAAGCCGTTTACAACTTTCTGTAACGCCGAATTAGAGCGCAGCTCCTCAGGAGGAGGAGGACGGAAGGGTACTGAGGGGAGGGTATACCCCTCCTCCCTCCTCATCCTGCCTGCTACTCCTCCATCCAAGCGCCGTCGGCGTCGCTGTAGTCGTGGGCGTAACCGTGAGGTCACGTGACGTCACGTGGCCCTCGTGACTTAAGGGGGTCGCGTGACCTCACGGGGGTCACGCGACACACCTGAGGTTACGTGACCCCCCTCAGGACACTCTCAGGGGGGTCACGTGACCCCCTGAGGTCACGTGACCCCTATGACGTCACGTGAACCCGCGAGGACGTTCCAGCACGGGGCCAAAACGTCACCATGCCGAAACGTTGCCGGGGTAACGACCCCGCAACGGCGACGCCGCTCAAGCCGGAAACGGGCGCCTAGGAGCTGCGCTCCAAAAAAACACGCGTCCGTTTTTCTTTTTTCTTTTAGGATAGTTTGTTACAAAACAACCCTTGCCTAATTCAAATGCGCCTTGGCGCAATATTAACTAAAAAAAAAATGAACGGAGGAACCGTTGTGCATCCTTAGGGATTGCGTTAGCGTGACCCGTGCGAAACGCCACACATGTCCCCCTTTGGGAAACGCTAACGCTGACCCTCTCACTTTTCCATTTTGACTTCCTCTTTGCTTCCTCCATTTCTACTGCCTCTTTTTGGCTTCGTTACGGGGTCAGTGTTAGTGTTTCCAAAAGGAGGACGTGTGTGGCGTCTCCCAAGGGTAATGCTAACGCATTCCCTGAGGATCCACCAAGGGATCTTCCTTAAAATTTATTTTTCTCCGGTGAAGCGGGCACGGCGAGCCCTTCTTGCCCCAGCCTCTGTCGCACGCAGACCCGCGTCTGCTGGCCGCTTCTTGCGCCACGTTTCGGCCAGCCGAGCTCGGCGCTGCTTTCGCTCCTCTGTCTCGTTCGCCTGCCTTGACCGCTTAGCAGCGACATCCAATGCCTGACATTGCTCTCGCTATTCGTTGATTTCCCGTGCGCGCATTGGCATCCGCCCCGTGACGTCGCCTCCTTCTTGCCTTTGTCCTTCACCACTCTCCTCCTAATGCGCGGCGCGCTTCCCTTTCCATTGCTTTGTCCGCAGTTGGACGGCTTCAGCTTTTTTCCTCTCGTGTGGGTCCTGATGCTAGCTCATTAATAATTCCGTGTCCTTTGGGAGTGAATCCTATCCCGCCGTTTTTATGTTCCAAAAGATTATATTCAGTGGTAGCTTTAAGAAACGCATGGTTCTTGCTTCGTGATCTGTTCTTCATCGTTCTCATCGCATAATGCACATGAGAAGGGAGCGGAGCTAATAACAGCTCTTCGCCAGCCGACAGCGAGAGAGGAACTGCTATAAGCTCTGTCTCGTTGTGACAGGAATGTCATACACACCGACCTGTGTCGCACCGGAATGAGCTTTTGCGCCGATGCTTCCGGTTTTTAATGCCTAATTAGCAGGGTTAATAGGCAAGTTTAAAGACGGATATGTATCGCGAAACACAAAATTTTTACGATGAAAGAACAGCCTTGGAATATGGTTGATATTAAATTTGCAATAGAAACACATTACAGTTATTCAATTTTTTTTTATGACTGGGGATTTGACTGACTTTCAGGAAAAAACAACTACTAACTTTCAGGACAAAATAAAGCAAAAAAAAAAAAAAGCTTTTACGCATAATCGAGTTGGGTACGTTTTCATCTCTCAACTTCGTTTCAGGATGCCTACATCACCATCATGGAATACATCCAAGGTGTAGACCTTATGCGAGTAGTGGACAAGGCAGTCTATTTACCCACGGAAGAGTGCCGCATTGTGATGGCTCAACTAATTCTAGCTATCGAACACATGCATCTCAGAGGATTTCTACACAGGGATATCAAAGTCTCCAAGTGAGTGAGCATATAGTACACATGTCTTCGTTACATTCAATGTCCTTTGAGGGGGGGGGGGGGGGGGGGGGGTCTACCATTTTCTAAATGGAGATTCACATTTGTTTCTATTTAGTAATGAAATCCTTCTCTTGGTCTTAATACATCACCAAAGTGGCGCAGTTAGCATTGTGAGGCGAAGCGAGCCACCCGTTCAGAGATCATTCACACAGTAGCACTTGACTACGTTTGACAACGGTCTGGTAACTTATAGAACTACTCACATAGTACCGTTTGGCTACGCTTGACTACGCTGCAGGAGCAATACCCCGGTTACACGGGCACCCTTAACCGCAGTCAAGTGTGACTGAGGTCAGACTTTACCCCTGTTAAGGATGCCCGTGTATATAGGGTATTAGGTATTAAGGGATTAGTTGAATAGTAGCGGTTGACTACGTTTTGCGGACTTAAAGGACTATAATATCATGGTACCTTTGGACCATGTTTCGCTACGTTCTGACGAATAGACCCCTTTCGAAAGTATGTCCTCGATTGTATGCTGTGAAATCCTCGCACAGGGCTTGCCTAGAAACCATAAGTTCTAGGCAATGAGGCAAATTAGTAGAAAAACCTAGAAATTGCAAGTTTCACCTCACCCCGTCTCCTGTACTTTTAGATGCGCCTTCCTCGGTGTCGGTTGTTCGGCCATTGAGCACTGATTCCGACTAGAGCCCCTAATTAAGCGGCGCTCCAAAGAAACGACACTACAGCCACCTTTTTGCCTAAGACCACTGTATCCAGCTATGTGAAAGATTTATCTGAAATCGCAATAAATTCTTTACGTTTTCCAGAAGTGTTAAAACAAATCGTAACGACGCTTCTGGAGCACAGGAAAAATTAGAATTGTAGCAATCTCCAATTGCTCACTCTCTACACGGATTGCATCGAAAAGGCCACAAGTCTCTAAGCGTGTTTTATATTTAGCGCCTTTAGTTCCGACACAACGAACACGTGACTTTCAAAAGGGGCTTATTACGTCATGTCACAAAGGAGTCACCGGAACATACGTGCCTCATATGCCGCGTGGGAACCATATTCAAAGCTTGGAACGCAACGTGTGAACCACGGATGACCCGTGGACGTAAGTTTACATTCATGTGAGAAATCTTATATACATCAAAAAGATTAATGGTGTTGTCTATCAATCACTAAAGAAACAAAAAAATGTATGGTCCTTTTTTGCATTTATTTTATATAGAAGTACACATCTTCGCGCATTAAGGCTGGTTCACGTATATGCGTCGGTTGCGTTCGCATGGAACTGAAACGACCGTAACGACAAAGTCACCAGGACAAGTATTCGCCGTACACAGCATGGCAAGCGATGCAAAGGGTAGCCTCGAGAAGCAATCCATGAGTCACGGTTGTTGCGGTGTTTTGGACGTTTCGGTCGTTTCGGTTGCATGCGAACGCAACCGTTGCAAATGTGTGAACCAGCCTTTATACTTCTTCTCGCACCTAGTGCTTAACGCTGTTACAGCCGCTGGCCCGAGCGTGTAGATAGAGCTATACGCTTCATTTGCACGTGATCTCGTGCAAATAGGATACTTAGCGAAGTGACGCACTCGCACAGGTTAAGGAAAACCCAGTACAGATGCTCCGCCGCCAGCGCGAACTCATTGTTTTCCGCCGGGCTTTGGCTGCGCACGACGAAGTGTGGTCCTTTTTGACAAAAGCGCCACAAGACAAGGACATAAAGTAAGGGACACAGCACAAGCGCTTGTGCTGTGTCTCTTACCTTATGTCTTTGTCTTGTGGCACTAATGTTAAAAGTAACATTGTACCAACTAGCCCATCTTTCGCTATTGAAGTGCGGTTAAAGGCAGAAAGCTTTTTAACCTGCTACCGACTAAACACCGAGTTATTGATGATAAAGTAGCGTGTAGTCATGTGAAAACTGCGGGCAGTAACCGCCCATAAGCAGAGTCTATTTGTGTTCAATCGCATGTGCGTGCAAAATAGAACCTACAAGCACGAGAATGTGGCCCTCGTCCACTCCCGCATTTCGTGCCCAGCAGGCCCTTCAAAGCGCAGAGCTCGCTGTTGGAGCTTATTGGGAGTATTCACTAACGGCCATATCTGCGTGCGGGAATTCTGAGCGCGTACTGATGGCGAGCTTCCACAGTTCTTTTGCAACGTGCAATCCACACCATCGAGAGTGCCAGTCTTAGCAGCCTATTGATGTGAGCTCGTTTTGAGCATGCGCTCTAAAGAGCACACACAAATATGGTGTCCAGTGAATACTTCATATACTATGCTCAAACAAAGTGTGTGCCAAATGCCCAAAACTTGCGCGTGAAACGTCGGAAAACTGTCACCGCCGTGAAGTGGCCTTAAAGACACGAGTTCGAGCCATAAGTAGGAAACAAAAAAGATGTTTTGTAATCTTCTCGTTTTGTAGAGGGACAAATAGTCCTAGCATATCTAAAATAAATTTTAAAAAAACTTTTTAAGCAAAACTGTAACTAACAGCGTCCTCTCGATGTCATCGCCTGTTATTGCATCTGACCTTAATGAGATATAATAAATCTGGAACTGCCATCAAAATTTCTTACCAGAAATCTCTTCGTCTGCCTTCTCCAGCATGCTCATCCTGCCTGGAGGCAGGTGCAAGGTCATTGACTTCGACACCAACAAAGTCTGCATCGGCCACTGTGAGTAACGACACCTCGGCCACCTTAGAGGTTAAGACCATTGTTGCCAGTTTCTGAAAGCTTCATTCGAAATCACAGGAGACGCTTTTCCGCCCTTTAGAAATGTCGAAACAGTTCGCATTAGAGCAAATCGATATCGCATGACCTTTAGCGCGTCGTGTCTGAGCAAAGGAAGTCGCACGCTCGAATCGTAACAGTTGGCAACAGACCATTCCGGAAATATGTGGCGCTCCCACCGCTTGCTTGACACGTAATTGCAATCCCATCTAGGTACGAAAAGGATAACCCAGGAGTGGAAGACGAAGCTCTTGTTGGTTTAACGCTAACGAAGAAGAAAATCAAAGCAGTATACGTGGTTATCTTGTTTTGTGTTCGTTTTAGTTTTCGTGTCTTCACATCGCACAATGACAATCGATAATAAGTCGAATGGCTTTCGGGATATGCGAAGCGTCCGAGTCAGCCCGAAAGTGCAGCGGAAGATCCCCATGATTCCCCGCGCCACACGATGTAATGTGGGTAAACCGCGATGTCTCCAGGGATTTTGCAAGAAAGTCTGTCGCACCCGCTCTTCACCGAAATGGTGGCGCCCACAAGAATATACAAAAACGAAATTCCAAGGACACCTAAGCACTTTTTATGAGTTGTGAATTTGAAAGAATGAATGCCGTTCTTCCGCTCCCTTAGTTCGTCTGCGGTGTACTGCCGTGGAGCACGTTTCGCTACTGCCGAGGTTCCGGCAGCCGACGATATAGACCTTTGTCCGGAAGTGCTCTTTTTAGCCTCGACCGCAAGGAGCAAAAGCCAACAATAATCTCGAACCCAGGCAAAAGCCAACAATAATCTCGAACGGGAATAATCCCGTTGAAGGCTTCTTCGCTGGTGTGCCGACTGCAGTTTCGCCGGCATCGGTCCTGTTTACCGCGGTATGTGAGTATAGTGCCCGTAATGTGAGAGCCGTGTGTCCATACGCCACTTTGCCGCTGTTGGTTTCCATCTAGCCGAGCCAGAAAACATCTCGCGACGAGTTGACCGCGCCGCGAGTGACGAAGAAGCAAACATGGCGACGGTTTGTGCGATTGCTTTGGTGGCTCCGGTGTTGAGTGTCTTCAACGTCCTCGTGAAAAGATTCCCCTGCCCTTCGAAGTTATCGCAGGCACCACGAGTGGCACGAAAGATGTGGAATCATCGTCTCAACTACAAATAAGCAGGCCTGCACAAGCAACAACGACGCCGAGCAGGCGCTCGGCACAGTTGTGTCGTCAGATGTTCTACAACGCCGAGATATTTTCATTTATCATTTGGAATGGCTTCAACAGTGGGAAATTAATCTATTTCGCAGATTGTTAACGCCGAGGTGAGTGCCCTCCGTTGCAGTGCCGTTGTCGCGCAAAGTGCAGAGAAAACCCGGTGGCGATGGCGGCGGTGCTCTTTGATCGCTTTGATCTTGCGCCGTCGGGTTCATGGAGTCCGGAGTAAACGTACGTACGTGCGTCTGCTGGATCGGTGTTTTGGACTGCCACAAAACTCTTTCTCGCGGGCATTTACCTTGTGAAGCTTAGTAGCTCATTACATTTCGTCGTCGACTGCGCTCATTTGACTACGACGGACGAGCCTGTGTGATGTGAATTTCACTGCCTAAGATCCTTGGTGTGCTATAACGAGGGCTAATAAAATATCACCACGAACTTCTGAACAAACGAGTCGAAGTTTCGTCTGTTATCATAACTGATAGCCTGTCACAATATTAATCAGTAGCGTTCCTAGACTCCGTCCCCACAGGCACCCTGCTTCGTTGCCCGATAGTTAGTGTTTCCTGGTACCTCGTAGAATTCCAGCTCCCACTTCAAGTAAGTACCATCCTTTAGAACTGGCAATTAATAGTTTCGAACCCAGGCGCTCGCAGCGTGCGTGTGTGTGTGTGTGTGTGGGGGGGGGGGGGGGGGGACGCGTGCTAACACACTCGGGGCCCTCGTTTTCGCCGCTTCGCGGCGGCAGACAAGGTGGCACATTACAAAAGAAAGCTAATCCGAGCTGTCTATGGAACTATACCCATTCGCTAGTCCTTCGATGAAACGTCGTGGTCTCGTTTTCATTCGCTAAAACGGCGTTCGATCAAGTGAACGCCTCCCACTTATTTCGGCTCGGCAGAGCCGCGCTGCCGCAGAAAGGCAAGCAGATCGCGAAAATCGGTCTCAAACGTGCCACGAATGTAATGTCGTATACAAGCCGACAATCAAGCATTTGAAAGCTACAAGAAAGTGGCAGCGAAATATTTACTACGCAATGAACCCGGACTGAAACGGGGATGTCAAGGGTCAGCAGACACCGAGAACATTTAAGACAAAAAAGGTTTTCTCTTGTTTTCTCGATCGAGATGGGTTCTCGAATGTTCACGACATCTTATCTGTTGAAGAACGGGTCGCGGAGGCTTCTGGTGAAGACATCTTTCACGATGTGCCGGTGCATTCGGACAACCTGCCGCATCCAGCTCCCCAAAGCAATGCCGCCAACACAGCCCCCCCCCCCCCCCCCCACTGTGGACCCCCCCCTCCTGCCTGCCAGTTCTCTCCGCGTGGTGGCGCGAGCGTAGATAAACATGGCGGCGCCCTGGAATTGGCGCGGACACTGGTCTATAGATGCCCCAGGCGCCGCCATGTTCCTTGGCGCCGAGAGTAGCACACGCGGCATCAGCCCCCACCTCCCTCCGGCAACGCCTGACAAGAAAGCAGCGGCAGAGCGCCGGCTCTCTAGCCGCTCATTCACACTGGAAGCGGATCCGCGTTCGCAAAGCGGTTGCGAACGCGGTTGTATAAAGATCCAGTACCATATTGCACGCGCTCTCGATGACATCAAGTGCGCGTGCAATTGTACTGGATCTTTCTACAATCGCGTTCGCAACTGCTTTGCGAACGCGGATCCGCGTCCAGTGTGAATCAGCGGATAGAGCGGCCGCAGCAACCCCCCCCCCCCCCCCTCCCTCCCTTCCTGCGACGCCGGCCACCAGAGCCGTGTATAGAGAGAGTTTGGTCAATGGGAGGCGCGGGCAGAGCCAGGGTGTACACCAGACGCAGAAAGTGGGCTTGACATGCTCTCTTGGCCAACCAGAAGCCTAAAAGAATCCCCTAGCGGTGGTAGCAAGAAACTGTTTTAATCAAAGGTATATGTGGTATATGATTTTAATAAGCGCGTAAGAGTGAAGTGTAGTAACCCTTCATGGTTCAAAATAGAGTGCACGTGATGTTTCGGTCACGATCATGCAGAAAGATGTAAAAAACGAATGTGCCGTTCAACTCTGTTTTGCTCGGACAGTGTGTGACCGCTCGGAGTGCAGATTCTCAGCCCTCGGCGCTTAGCGTACGGAATTATGTCGATCGTTAAGCTAGCCGCACTCTTCCACCATGATTTTGAATGACCGTGATTGAAACATCACGTGCACTATATTTTCAGTCACCGAGAGTTACTCCGACGCAAATTAGTAGATACAATTAATGCGAAAGCATCAATTGTATCATGGAGCGAGCTGACGTCATCAGTTGGAAGCGCGAAAATGGCTCCTGGTTCCCGGCGCCTTCGGTTCCATTGGCTGGCGCGCATCGACGGGGCTCCCATTGGTCGCAGCGCCATGGCCTCCGAGATCCCGAAGAGCGCGCGCGCTAGTACGCAGCAGACGACAAAGGGAGCTGACGGGCGGCTTGCATGCTTTCGCATTCACAACTCAAGAGAAATGCTTAGGTGTACCTGGAGCTTTTTTTTTAAGTTTGTTTCTTGCATCCACCGCCAGTGTATTATTTCCGGCTTCTGGTTGGCCCCATTCGAAATTTATTGAGACTCCCTGGAACACGCCAATGGCGTGCTCCAGGCGCCAAGGGCGCCTCCTCGTTTGTCTCCTATACTTCCCAACGAATGGCCGAACTCTTTACATATAAGGGAACGCCTGCCTCGAAAGCAACGGCCGGGAGCACGCTCTCGTGAAGCGGCCGCCAATGGCTATCTAGGAGCCGTTTTACTCAGCCAATGGGAGAATGTGCATTTCTTTCGCGTTTTACCGCAGTTACACGCGCCGGCGGCTCCACTCCATGGGACAGTTAATGCCTTTGCATTGAAATAGTGACTTTATAGGTTCAAAAGTTTGTCTCTTCTGAGCAATGGCCGTCTCTCTCGCAGTCTCCAAGCGCGTCTGCAAGGGATACTTCAATAAGACGGCCTTCGAGTTCCATGACGGCGAGTCCGCCGGCACCATCCCGTACATGGCCCCCGAGATCCTGAAGCGACGCCCGTATGGCCGCTCCTGTGACTGGTGGTCTGCCGGAGTGACCTTCTACAAGCTGATGACCGGACGTGTGCCGTTTCGTGGCGAGACCAAGGAGCTACTCCGAGACAAGATAATAAACTCCCCGTTGAAATGGCCCAAGGTGGAGGAGCACCCTCATTCCGCCACCCCGGAAGCCAAGGACATGGTCTTCAAGATGCTCAAGAAGAATCCTGTCGAACGGCTCGGGTCGGTCCACTATTCCGAAATCAGGGGACACCCATTCTTCGACAACTTCAACTGGAAGAGACTGGCCACGACCAAGGAACTGTGTAACATCCCGGCTATCGCAGAGTGCATGGGAGGTGTCACCCAGAAGGAGGGACAGCCACCTCCTAAGCCGGCATCTAAGCTGAGTAAGCTCTTTGTTTGTTTGATTTTTTTTTATTTGTATTTGTTTTGCGTATTTTTTTCTTCGCGTAAAGAGCAGAGATAAAGGCATGCGCCTGACAGGACCCGTGCCAACGCCCCTAGAATAATCGAGGCCCGCGAACGACATTCCCTTCCTCCATGGAACGTCATCACAGTCTGATGGCGGGCGCCACTCAAAAGTTGAACCCAATCCGAGAGTACTGCGACGCGCTAATTGGACAAGAGGTCCAGCCGAGCACTGTCGCAGCATTCGTTTTCGATCTCTTTATTCTCTCGATCTTGCTGTGATGCCGTCAAAAGTCTAGTTCACATGCTTTGATTATTCTAGGAAGTGTTGCCTCCACCCCCCCCCTTCCCCTTGCAGTAGAGCTGTGCAACGTAGCAAAGGCAATAAATGATAACGTGCAATATGCGTAAATGTTGCAAAGAACCAAATCAAAACAAAGAAACAATAAGACACGTAACGCTGTGCATTTAATTATTTCTTCATCGCTGGTTCCAGTTCCGTGCTATAAAATTTCGTTGATCTCATTCGTACTGGCGTACGTCTTTTCTCTTCCGAGGGTTCGTTTTGTTTAAATCTCGCCAAGGAATAACCGTTTTAATTGCGCTTGCACCATGGCCCTTTTGTACTGTTCAGTATCGAAGCCTCAAGTTTTTTTTCTGAAACTGACTATGTCATCAGCGAAAATGCCGGGCGTACGACGTTCTTCTTGCAGCAGCCTTTGTAGCAGTCGGCTTAACTCTCGTTTCTTTTTCTTTTTCGTGTTTCAATACACTGGACCGTTCAAGTGCTCTCATTTTTAAGACCCCTTTAAATAATTCTCACTTTCTCCGAAGCCTCCCACTTTTCTGCTAGCGAAATCGTCGAAACTTTGCCGAACCCCATTAAAAAAATCATCTTCAAGAAGCTTTGTAATAAATTTTCATAAATCCCAATTAGAATTTTTAGGAGATTCTCTAAGTGACCATGGCATAAACGAAACAAGGCAGTGGTCACTGAGGGAAACATGATCTACTGAATAAAACTTGCAAGCGCCGATGATTTCCAGAGAGACGTACGCTCTGTCCAAGCGCGAGTGACGCGCTCCTTGAAAGTGGGTGAACTGCCAGCAGCTCGCATTTAAAGCACAGCTGGCGACGTCTTCTAATTCGCCTAGCTGGACCAAGACGCTCAAGAAGATGCCGCTGGCATCCCTGTACATTAACTCGCGCTGTTTGATTGGTCGCCTGGAGCGCAAACGCAATTGAAATCGCCCAGCGAAACGACAAGGCGGTCAGTCGTAACATACTGGTTAATGTTTTCAAAGATACTAATCTGTTGTCTACCTTCTTCGGAGCATAAACGCACAATACGGGAAAACTATAACTTAAAAAAAAAAAAAATCACACACTATCAATCGTCCGGCCTCGCAGTTACGTTACATTTTTGGAGAAACAAAAGGCAGCCCCTCGAAGTTCCAACAACGTGACTGACACACACGTTGTGCCTCGACCCGAATAGGAGGACCATGCTCCCTGTCTCGGCCTCGCTCTCAATGTTTAACTTTTGCACCACGACAATATCAAGATTTTTCTCAATGAAAAGGCTGTTCAGCTGACATTGCTTCCGCCTTGCGTTTAAACCGTTCCAAGTGCTCACACGCAAGGACCTTTCGAAAGTCATAAGAAATTAGAGGGAGGACAGACGAAGAATACAGGGCTTACAAAGGGGGCGTTCAAAGTCGTGACGAAAAACTCACTTCGTCTGCTCGTGTTTCTGAGTCGGAGACGCAGACTAGAGGCTCGTTCACACAGACCCGTTTTATTACGCTACGTTACGAAAAGTCACCGGGAAATGTGTGCTTCGTGTTAAGCGTGGCTACCGATTCAAGTAGATAGCCTGGCAAGCAACATTCGAGACAAGAATGCTTTTTTGACTTAGACGTAACGTTAGAAAACGGTGCTGTGTGAGAAGTTGAACCGAGCTCAACTCCTTACGTTACGTTACTACGAGCCTTGTGTCCTTGGTTGCCACGGTAACTCACCGTCCTAGCTCGTCGTCACCGAAACATTCTTGTCTCGAATGTCGCGTGCCAGGCTATCTCGAATTCGTAGTCACGCTTAATACGAAGCACATATTTCCCGGTGACTTCTCCTAACGTAACGTAAGAAAACGGGTCTGTGTGAACGAGCTTTGAGGCTTGTATCTTCCTATACTCTGTTTCTTACTTAGCGTGCAACGCTGTCAAAGCTATTGGCGCGAGTGTGGGGCTTAATCTCGTTGATCATCTGCACGCGTTCTCGCGCAAACAAAACCATAGATGAAGCCACGCGCTCGTGCCAGTAGCTGTGACAGCGTTGCACACAAAGTATGAAACACAGTATATATTTCCTTTTTCTCCGTACCATTCTCGTTCGAAGCGCCTCGGCTGTTGTTCCTCGCTGCCAGAGACTGTGTCGCCTAGGCGACGCTTTGTCCCCGTAGCGTTGACTTCCATGGACTTGGGGACCTCGCCTTGCTTGGAGACTGCAGAATTTCCGTGCTTCGCCGTTCCCTCGGGGTCACTTAGAGCGGCCTTTACTGTCGTGGGCATGGCGTCCTGGATACGCTCGGAAGTAGTCTTCTGGGAAGGTTGTACAGGAGGCGTTTCCGGCCGCGCCTTGCTTAAAATCCCGCTGTTGACAGCTGCCTGGCTGAACCCTAGCTGCAGTGGCAGTGTTACCGGTACTGCGGCCCGCTCAGTCTCGTCTTCGTTCATTATTAACTCGGACTTTTCGGCCCGGTTCTGTTGCCAGTGACGCGGGTGTACGTCTTAACGCAGTCCCTTTTTTCGTGCCCGAAACCTCGGCCGCTAGAGCACCAGGGCTCCTTACAGTCGCGCAGAATGTGACCCGTGCTCCGGCAACGGAAGCAGATGAGCGAGCGCCCGGGAACCACCACCAGTACCGAGCCGTCCAAAAAATTAAGGTGGTGGGGCAACTCTGCAAAGTTGCAAAGTTGCCTCACCCAAAATTTTGGCGGGGGTCAAGGCGACAGTTAGCGTCGTAGATTCAACGACGACGAGCCCGCTCAGCTTCCAAACCTCATAGACGACGTCCTTCACCTCGCCGTACGGCTAGAAGGCGAGACGGACGTTGTCGACGGGCACGTCGAAGGTGACCCAGTGAAGTTTCACCTTGCTTTCCCGCCGGTATGGGTCGATCACTAGGCAGCGACGACCTTTGACCTGAAGTTCGCCGGCGTGGAGCAGCTTGCTCTTAGCCTCCAAGGTCTTCATTGTGGCGAGCCAGACATGACCCATCTGGTACGCTCCCAGACCGGCCAAGTCTTGCCGCACTCCCGCCCGGTTTAAAGGGGCACAAAATCTTCCGCCCTGTAAGGCCGTCCAGCGGTGTAACAATGCAGCAGTACGCTGTTCTTTATTATCCTCCTGTTATCCGAATCACCCCGGCCAAAGCCAGTTTTTATCGCCGCTCCTGACGAGCGATTCAACGCACGTCCGCTTTGTTCGGCAGCCGGAAGCGGACTCCTCCGCCGCAGCCCCTGCTCACTGGCAGAAAAAGAATGAGAAACGAATGTGGAGGCGATGTGAACGGCGCCAATAACGCTATCGCGTTCCACTCTTAAAGGAGAAGATTAAGCGTCCTCCAATTTTTTTATAGAAATTATGAAAAAAAAAAGCCAGGTTACTGGGTGAAATTATTACACTGTAAAACCTTTACTTAACGGATACTTTAGCGCTTTCAGCAAGGGAAATAACAAAGACTTCTCGACTGAATTTTTGTGTTTACAATCATATCTCTGCTCGCCAGGATAGTTGCTATATTAATTTGCTTTTTGCTTGACTTAATTTTGTACAAAAAAAAAAAACACGGGGAAAAATGGGTAGCTACAATCTATTTGAATTGCACTGAACATTCATTTCGATTAAATTACGTTTGGAACCAAAATAATTTGTAAGGACTTTTAAATTTTCTAATTTTTGTTTTTACTGCTGGTATTAGATTAACGTTTTGTGATATTTATTTTATGATTTTCCTTCAAACTGTTTAATAAAAAAAAGTATTTGTCCACTTGGAAGCAACATACATGCTTCTTCAACCTATTGAACGAAATATAGTATTTCTGTTAAAATCACCTTTTCAATAGTCGCCAGGAATGGAGGCTCACGCGACCAGCTGTATTAAAAAAGCAGGAGAACCAAATTTATTCTTTACAATGATGAGCTGCATCGCGGCAACAGTTCGTTCAACACTCTGTGTATAACGCGTCAATGGAACTTGGAATATATACGCTCTGTTTCGACGCAGCTGTCGGAGCCACAAGCAATACGCTGAAGCGGAAGTTGCAAAAGGTGGAAGACATGATTGACGTCGAACCTTCAACGCAAAGGCCGCTGTACACCTACTCGGCACCGAGTTTCAAGAAAATGATCAATACGGTAAGACAGTCACAAATACTTTTTCTTTATCGCTCTTTAGTGTGGCTTTTTCAAAGAACAGTAAACTACCTATACAAATAAAATCACGGCGTTAGCTGATACTAACGCCGAAGAACAAATTAAAAACCAGGAAACGTGAAGGCAATGAACACGCACTGCCCACAAACAAGCCAGGTACATTCTGTTTTCCTACCTTCTGCCATTCTCACTCAATAGGGAGGACATCCTTTTTTATATATAATGATCCATTTAAATGGAAGAAAGACGACACATCTCTTAATTTTTCGCGAGGAATGTCCCTTGGATAAGAGGGACACTTTCTTCATTCTTAAACTCTAGGGAAAATGGGCACTTCTGCATTTCAGAAAAAAACAACACTTGTATTGCGTTCATTTGGCCTTTAGAATAACAGATATCACAAGTATGTTTCAATGCGACGCGCCATAAGAGCCATTTCAAAATAGGACTGAAGCCCCGCCTCTCTAGCCTTGGGCAGCCAAAAGATCCGTTGATGACGTCACGTACAGCAACTGTCTTTCGCGTTTTCTCGCGTTTAACAATACTTTCACAGTAAATGGTTTGGGTATTAGGGTTCAGGGGATAAAATACATCAGAATTCATTTCTAACTTACTTTTTTCAAGAACCTCAGTAGCTTCCCTTTAAAAGGCAAATTGTCTGAACTAAATTAAAGATTGTCCCCTTTTGTAAAAATGAAACGACCACGGGATGTATATTGCCACCCGCAGAGCCGAGAAGGCAACGCTCGGTCACGGTCTTCTAGAAGATTCCCGGTCATTCTCGCAGCAGACGTAACTTTCGTTCTGCTTTGTTATTCTCGAAAGTGCCAGTTCATCTTCGCCCCGAGCGCGCGACGCTCGAACCTTCTTTGCCGAACTTTCGAGATAGTGACGCAGGGTAGATAAGCGGCTCCCGCGACCTTGTCGAGTCAGTCCCAGTTTCGCTAGCGCTCTGTAGTGCCGCCGAACCGCCGCCAGCTTTTCTGCTACCTCGACGCTCTTTCGTTATTTATTTTTGGTTGGCACAAGTTCGCCCATTAAATCTTTATTTTCAGTTCACTGCTCGGCTTTTCGTCACCTTCATTCGTGACATTTCTGGTGGAGGTGCGGGGTATCGATCCCCGTACCTCTCGCACCAGAAATGTCACGAACGGCGGAGGTATTCGTCGATGTCCCTAGGTCGCTCTCCGTAACGTGGTCGCGCGCTCGGGGCGAAGATGAACTGGCACTTTCGAGAATAACAAAGCAGAACGAAAGTTACGTCTGCTGCGAGAATGACCGGGAATCTTCTAGAAGACCGTGACCGAGCGTTGCCTTCTCGGCTCTGCGGGTGGCAATATATATACATTTTTCTTTATTTAAATAGGCGATGAGCTGCACATATTCCAGGGACATTACTAGTTTTTCCTCAGGATGCATCCCTCATATTTATTAGTGCAGCCGTGTTTCGCATACTTTTTTTTCAGCGACATGCAGGCTGGCCACCTCAGTTGACGTATTGCACGTTGCTGGTGCTGTGCCCACCTGAAGTCGAAATTCAGTTGTGGTGCGAGTACATTTTTGTTCGATGCTCAAGGCATCTTAGACAAAGATCAGATGCAGCTCCAGATTACACCTGAACTTTTGATAGTAATAATTGTGCAGCCTCCTGTGACCGCAGGCTGGTTTTTATGCCGCTCACCTCGAGAGTTTCTTCATTATCTTATCGTGAGTCTCCATTTCCCGAGTACAAACGAGTCATGTGGAGAATCCAGGAGAGGCGAGTCCGGTCGCTCCGTCTTTGCAAGCCCGTCGAGCTTGCTCATGTCACCAGATCTAGGAAGCATACATGCTACACCTAGCTACACCGACAGCAAAGTTGGGGATTGAGCAAGGGCCTTCGACTCTCCGATGTTCACGGGCTTTTGCTACGGGCTTCGTTTCTCGGCGTTCTTAACGGCGATATCCACGATCTCATGACCTGCGGAGCAATATTAATAGGGACGGGACTCGTCACGTCTTGCGTTTCTGTAGCTGTCATAAGTATATAACCGCTAAACATGGGATAAGCAAAGTCTTATTCATTCATCGTTTTCGCAGGCCAGGACTTCCAAGGGTCCGGTGAACCTCAAGGAATCTTTCTTCAACACAAGTGGCATGGAATCTGAAGAACTCGATTACAAGAAAGCGTCCGACATGGACGTCAACGTCGGAATAAGCGGCTTCAGCGGAAGTAGGCTCAAATGCTCGCGCGTCCTGCGCTCCCCGCGCTCTTTACACGATTCACGTTTCTTTCAGCTGCTGCATCGGCAGACAAATCCATAACGGCCAAAGAAAAAATGGACTTGATTATGTTCAGAACGAAGAGCTTCGGAAAGTACTGGAACTTCGGTGTCCAGATTATTGATGTCATAGGGGAGCAAAACAAGCCGTTCATAATGGTTGAGGTGAGTGCGGGATTATGCCTACTATTCATAAAACTCGATCTTTTTCTTTCATTTGCGATCAATATGGGTATTAAGGTGGCTCATATAAGGTTACGTTGAAGCAAAAGCAACTAACGTTTTGACGCGTTGTTTAGTGGTGCAACGTTTTATTTAATTCACGCTACGTTGAAAAAAAATTATTTTGTTTTGTAGTTTAGCTGACTTGTTGTACCTTGTAACTTGAAATCAGGACGTTTTGATAGAGCACCCTTGTTTTCTTTGTGAAAAGATATGGGGCACTGGCACTAATTTCAAAGAGCAGGTTCTTTACGGTACTTTCAGGCTTTAAAGGGGTACTGATTCTAAAGTTAATATATACTTCTCATGTTCAGAGATAAGTTAAACACGATGAACTCTATCTGATAATGACAATCGCACGCTTTTAGTTTAGACTGATGACTGTATTTTTCGTTCTAAGTATTCAACTCAGGCCAGCGCTTCAAAATTAACCATCGAAGAGCGCGATGGGTCTGAGGATATCTGAACCCGCAACTTGCACGCGATGTTCTCGGCCTCCCTATAGCCAAGCGTGTCGTAGTTATGAGCGTTGACACTTGGTGGCGTCAACACGTGGCTACCTCACTTACTCACAGTGTCAACGGGCTGTAACATCCCACAGGGAGGCTGCGGAGCCAGCGGAGTCGTGCGCGCTATCCAGTTACTTCAGTGCGCGCTATGACAAAACGTAGTGCGTCGTCTGCTCCGCGACTTGGCCGATATGACGACATCGGCAACGTCGGTTTCGGGCGCGAGCTCGTTGCTCTTTGAACGTGGCGACATCGCCGCCAGGCGGCTAAGGTACCTCTGTTATCTCGCGCGACGCGAGATGCTGGTAGATTTACTGCCTCACGTTGTCTAATGTGACGGCGGGATCAGGTGTGACATTGGTAAGAGGAGGCAATTGCTGCTTACCTGATTTACCACCGACTGATCACAACAACCAGACTCAACAAGGGCGCCAGTTTCACGGATAAATAAATATAGACCCCTTTCAAAAAATCTGGCAACAGCGAAAATCCGCTGAACGAGTCCAACAACATTGGGCGGCCGGCGCCATTGGGAAGGACCCTGTTGCGGCCGGCATGGTTGTTTTGACTGTAGCGTTATTGTTTCGTCGATCCCTTTGCCTCTGTATGGCTGCAGGTAGGGTTTTCCCGATCACGGGTTGGGTAAACGACCTTTACCAGCTCCCCGCCGTTAAAGATGATGAGGTATATCGCTTCTTCAAGAGCCGATCGGACTCGGAACGACAATTCGACAGAAGTTACAACTTTCTCGTTGAGGGGTTCGTGGTCGCCGCATCTATAAAGGCCAACTACGCAAAAAGAAGGTAATTACTAAGATCTTTGTAGTTACGACATCAAACATGTCATCAAAAAATGATAGGAACCGGTTATAATTTACGGGCTGTAGTTAGAAGTCGCCAGTACTCTCCGGATGTGCGACAAAACAGGCGCAGGGGTACCGCTTCGCTGTCGCTCGGACAGTCGCGAGATGAAGCACACCGCATAAAAGCGACGAGCGAGCGACCAAGGCGATGAGCGTCGTTTTCTAGAAATCCCAAACCAAGCGACGCGACAAGCGACAGTGAAACATTTTCGTTGCTCGTAGCCGACTTTCGTCGCTTGTGCCGTCGCTTGACTCGTCGCTCGTCAAATCGCGTTTTTTTTGCTTGGAATTAAGACCTAAAATTTCAATGCGCAAGTTAACCAGTAAAGGACGTATTCGACACAAGTTCCTACTTGATACGTCGAGTTCCTTTTTCTTTAGGGGGATTTTAGAGTTGGGAAATGTAGAGCAGCAAATTTTGCAGTGAAGCAGAAGTTGCAAGCGCGTGCATGTTGCTTTGCATAAAGCACGCGCTGCACAGATGTTTGCGCTACAGGCAGTTTAAAGCGTCAGGTCGTATGGCTTCATGCGTACCTAACATATAATTTACACGCGCAAGTTTGAAGCACCGCGAGCTCGTGCATACCAGAAGCTAGGCGCTCGCGAAGCTGTCTCGTCCACAAGCGATACCACGAGCAACATTATATTTGTATTTGACGCCTTGATTTCTTCAAGCTAGCTGAAACTTGAAAACTCTACCTCCAAACGCAACAAAGTGAGATTAAAAACACCTGACTCAAACACCCAAGGAAGCGTAGCGTGAAAACGGTTCGTGTTCCGTTTTTGCACTTCAGCAGGGAAACGTTTGCGCGGCTACGCCGCCGTCAACCGATAACGAGTACATTTCCGAATACGTACCTTAATGCCAGACTTGTCCAGATACCCACTCTGCTTACAGAGGGGTACGCAGCAGTACGTTGGCATTGTGGGCAGGAATTGACTAGCGTCTACGGCCAACGCAGCGTATGCAGCGGCGCGCACTATCCTGCAGCATGGCGGCTGCCACTAGTTGCTGTTGCGTACGACAGGTGGCGCTTTTTTCTCTGATGGGTCTATAGCTGTTAAGGCACCATAAAAGTGGGCACCCTTCATTTAGTAAAGCGAGCAGGGAAGCAGGCCGAGTCCGGTGAGGCAGCACGGCGGTGGCATCACTCGAGTACTTCACGCAGCGTATCGCATCGATAGTGGTGTGACCGCAGCATTGTAACGCCACCGTCAAGGACCGCGGACACCGCGTTTTGCGACAATCCTTGTCACGAAGGCGAACACTAAACGAACGAAGGGAAGGCATCGGCGTAGAGGAAGCTTGCGCTGGTCCTGACGGGACGCGATTTTTAAAGCAAAGGCACATAGCAAAGAAAACACGACTGAACAATTCTCACATCGTCGCACAAAAACTATCACGAAAAATGGCTCGCATCGCCACGTTTTTGCAACGCGGCTTGTCTTGATGGCGAACACTAAACAAATGAAAAGAGGCCATCGGCACCGTTTTCATCGGTCTAGTCCGTCTTGTCCAACGAAGCTTACGCGATCGTCCAGGTGGGGGCATTTAGCACATCGACGGTGACTAAGTTAGACGGTGAGGCGATCGCTGAATTCTTACATGGTCGCACAGAAACTACCGCGCACAAAAGCGCATACCGGCACAGCTTTGAGATGTAAAGCCGGCGTCCCTCAGTGAGAACGACGTTGATAGAAGCGCGCGCCATGTTGAAAAAGATAGTTCGTCAGCCCCTGGCATCAGTGACGTCAAAGAAAGTGTAGAAGTTATTGGCAGGCGGTGTGAATCTAAGGTGGCCAAGTTTGCTTTGGCTTTCTTCACCAAATCTTCGGTATTACGTTCTGGCCTATGTAGTCTGTACTTGTGAGCGTACTTCCCATACAGTAACGCTGCCGTCGGAGACCGATGCCGTAACAAAATTCCATTGAAGCTTAATAACGAATAACCAGGCGGTTCTTGGTTATCGTTCAATTCAGTTTAAATTCTGTTTTCTTTCGTTTTCTAATGAAATATCGATGTTTATGAGGTTCTACTAGTACCTACATCATGCTGAAACAAAGAAATGAGCTCCAGAATTTTGTTTCCGTGCCCGTTTGTTCGAAATAGACAAAAAAGATAGCTGCCAAAAAAAAAGGCAAGCATTTGGTTACAAAAGAAAGTCGTGGCGCTTCTGGCACGTCAAAGGTTTGGGAACATCCCCGCGGCCAGAGATAGGGTGCCATCGCAATCTAATCATTAAAAAATAGATCGTCGCATTCAAGTTACTTCAATATAACTTAAGGTTTAATTCTTCTTCTTCAGCCCCTTTGGGAATAGCTGTGCTTCCTTTCCGCGCCTCTAGGGTTGGTTAGAGATAATACATGAGGTACGCTTCTAGCCATTCTCCGATTGTTTTGAAGGTACCGCCATTTCAGTGCCTAGAGCAGAGTAGGCGCAGCTGGCCATAGTTAAGGATAAAAAAAGTTTCACTTTCTGCAGACACAACGTCAAGAAGCTCGGACGATATCGTTTTTTCCTGTCGCAAACTTCCTAACCTTTCTGGGCCCGTTTGCTCAAAGTCGCTAAACTTTAACCGCTTTTTTTTAACTTTTAACTTTTTTTAACTTTAACTTTTAACTTTTTTTTTCGCTAAACTTTAACCGCGACAAAACGTTAACCGCCATTCCCTACTGGGTATGTGCAAGTGCCTAGCCATGTGTGATGAGGGCTGGATGCGAGGTAGCTCCATGTTATACTATGGGGTGGTAGCTCGTGTCTCCTACTGGTTGTAGTGAATATTAGTGGCTTCTACAGAAAACTTTTTGAAAAGGAGGGACCCGGGTACGCTCGCTGTCGGTTTGCCGTGACGCAGCGTGGCATACATATAAGCCTAAGAACCACTTTTTCTTGCTCATGGTACAAATAATGTGTCGGGCAAAACGAAATCAACCCGTGCTTGGCAAATTATGTAATGTTTGGTTGTCTGATGTATGTCAAGACAGCCTCGTTCAAATTTCCGTCCATTTGTGAAAGAGGATACGAAACTCAGAGCTCGAAACAATGAAGAAGAAGGGAACGGTGAAAGCACACCGGCAGCATGGTTGGCCAACATGTAAGAACTGTACATAAAACCTTCTTCATAAAATAAAAAAACGCCAACTTCAGCTCCAGTGGAAATTGGTACGCGGTCTGCTTCTGCGTGTCATCAATAACCGGCCGGTCGAGTCAAGACAATTCACTAGGATTCCAAAGACGTTTCTATGTCGACAATTACCGCGTCCCTTTAGGCTCAAGAATGGCCAGAATCGAAACCGATCTAAAAACTGTGGCAAGAACATTGCTCATAATTTACGATTTAAGTGAGGTAAGGCAAATCGAATGCCTTTTGCATCATTCATTGCAGACTAACGTGGCCAATAGTGCAGCGACTACGACATTTTAGTTCAAAGCGTGCGGCGATCGCTGGGAGGGGCACCTCCATGTTTCCCCGCCGTCCCTACCCTTCCGGTCACGTGACTTAAGATCCCCCCTCGTAGATAAATGCGGTAAACTTTCTGCGGTTAAAGTTAACCTGTTTTAAACAAAGAGGATGAAAATGACAAAAAATAAATAAAAACGTTCCATGTGATTATAAACAAATCACCAGATAACTGGCAAATTGATTTCAAGCACCAAGATGGCTCGAGCCTCGTTGCTCTGAAGAGTAGCTTATTTATTCTCTCTAGGGAAGGCTCTTTAAAAAAACGCTTCGACAAGTCAAAACACTTGACTAAAAGCCTTCCAGTTGAACCATTTTAGCGAACGAAACTATTTTTTCTTTGCCCAGAAAGTGACCAAGGGCAGTCCTGCGGAAGCCTCGCATGTCCTGGAAGGAGACGTCATCATTGCCGTCAACGGCCAAGAGGTCTCGACGTTGCCTCTGGCAGAGGTCAAGAAGCGGATGAACGACAGCGGCGACCAGCTGGTCCTCACCGTCCTGTCCTCGAGCGCCTTCAGGTTGCTCGAGTCTCGCCGGGACATGGACCAGATCCTCAAGGCCGCGGGCAAGGACACACTGCAGTTGGGCGTCATCAAGACCACTTGCGGAGGCAGCGGCAACTTTGGCTTCAAGGCGTTTGAAGCCAAGGCCTGGAACGAGCAGCAGAAGGCCCTCGTTCACTGCCACGTTATTCAGAAGGTAGGATAACAGCGATACTTTAAGCATCTTCACGTTTGTTTTTATTGTTACTTTCATCTGTGACTTGATGTGATGGTCAAAGTCATTTTGGAGAACTTTTTGGAGACGCCGAAAGTTCATTTAAAAGCAGCAAGAACAAGGTTTAGAGCACAAGCACACACTTGGATTTCATTCATACTGCAGTAAATATTAAATTAAGGTTCGTGTGTTGACAAGTCGAACTAAAAGTCAACGTCCACTTTGACTTCTTACTTGTCAATAACAGTGTTGCGGAGTTGCCACTCCGGAGTTGGAATGATTGCGGAATCATTCCGCATTTTCGCGACCCCGGAATGGAATGGGAATGGAATGGCGGCAACGTTGAGGGGAATGGAATGGGAATGGAATTAGATGCCTTTTGCCCGGAATGGAATGGGAATGGAATGGGCCAGGTTCTTTATACTTTTTCATTCATTTTTTTTTTATTTTTTTTTTTTACGTTCAGCTATACCGAGTCAGTCAGCTAGTCAGTTGCTCAGAAATAAAAGGAGCGGGAAACTGCAAATCCGCGTGAAGCCTTCACAGACTTATACGCAAAAAATGCAATACAAAAAACAAGCGTCAAAGCAAAGAACAAAGGGGGGAGGGGGGGGGGGGCGGTGGCGCCTTTCACCAGTGAAGTTCAACACATATCCGAATGCGTCTGCGCCTGTAATATTGCACGGCTCAAAAGTACGTCATCAGTCGACGTGAGCATGACCCGCTGCTCTGGTGAGACGATACCCGGAAGGAGGCCAGACGTACGTGCACGGCCTCGCTGTGCGGACCCAGACTTCGTACACCTGCGACTCGTCTCGAGCGCGCTGTTTCTTGGAGAGCTCGCACCTCAGCCAGCCATCTCAGGTCGCAATCCACGAGGTCTCTGTTTGAATGATGCTAGGCGAAACTTGAGGACTGCCATTCATGTGTTGAAGGCGGAGGGTCGGAAGGTAGGACCGTCACAACAGGGATGCCACCGTATCGATTTTTCAACCAAAATAGAAGGTAAGACATGTTCTTTACGATGCTTCAAATGGTCCACTTTTCCCGAAAATTCCAAATGCACCTGCCTAAATGGTCTTTAACGAGGTCACCTACTACGAAAGTACGTATTGTTCTTTCATATATGGCATGGTAAAGTTTCATGTTCAAGGCAACACCCACAGATACAAGAATACTAGTTCATCCCACTGTGACGTCATGTGATCAGTGACCGGGGCGCCCTTATTGGACAGGAGCGTGGTGACGTTTTGATGGGATTTAGGGTGACATGGAATTTAGTTAGAGGTCGAAGTCTTTTCGCATCACTGGTCAGACAGACAAGATGCCAGGGAAGGGACCGCGGTCAATCCCTGATAGAACGTTTCTTGAACCCATTGAAGATTCTTCGTCCGGAACCACTGCCTTCAAGGCCAAGCCTGCGGGAAAGTAATTTCGGCACAAAAAAAAAAAAGAACTTCCACTTGAAACTTAAAGCCTCATCTCAGTTAACGTCTCAAAGGAATTTGAAAAATGTATTGCATTATCAGTATTTATATTTCTGCCCTCCCTAAAACATATTCCTGTATTTGTATTTCCAAAGACTTTTCTGCCTCTTTTTAAGATGTATTTCCGACACGTATCGAGATACATTTTGACAGATAATTTGAGACTTGAGTATAAGTATTTTAGCAACTCTCTTCATCTACCCCAGTATTTGTATTTCCAAATACATTTTTTTTATATATATTTCTGCCTAACCCTGCAACGCAATGCAACTGTCAAGTGACACTTTTTACATTTAGGAATTAGAGGAATGGAGTGGAACGATTCGGCCATTCCAGGAGTGGGAATGGGCCCAGTGTCCCCATTCCTAGGAGTTGAAAGGAATGGAATTATCGAAAACTCTAATTCCCCGGAATGGAATTGGAATGGAATGGGGGTGCCCACTCCGCAACACTGGTCGATAATAACCCCCTGGAGAAGGGGAACAGAGTGGACAGAGGACAAACAAATCTCCAAACACAGCTAGGTAAAATGAAAATGAAGAGGTCCCTGGCTCGATACCAGGACCAGGTGGATTTTTTTCGGTCCCGCACCAGTCACCTAGATGTGTTTAAAGATTTGTGTTTGTTTTTTGTCCAATTTTGTTCCCCTTCTCCAGGGAATATTATCGTAATTCTTGTCCAGGCCGCTTGCACCTTTGCATAATTGCATTATCTTCTCACTTGTGTTGTTAGCATTCGTTGCACGGCAAATTTTATTTCCTCAAACAGAAAATAAGCTGCTCAGTTATGTACAGAAGCACCAAACACGGCAACAAGATGGTAACTGATAAAAGACGGTATGAACTGGAGTGCATAGTAGTCGCTTTCGGTACGGAATCAAGGGTGAAGCAAATAATGTACTCCACTGAAATAATGTTAAACTATCATAATTTAGAGAACCCAAATTGAGGTTCCGTTCAAATTCTAAATGTTCGAAGAAAAGTTCAATTTTTAAGAAGGATTTCTAAAAAACGTCTGCATTTGATTAGGAACATCGATTACATTATATATGTAGAAATTATAATAGAAATCGGCATCTGAGTAATAGATAGGCCTTCTTAAAAACAATCCCGCCGAACTCTTTGAGTTTGTTTCCAATCTTCCATTCATTGCTCCAGCTAATTTAATTTTAATGAACGCTCCTGACTGTGTCATTCAACATATATGACATAAAAAAATAAACCTATAGAGCAGTCCATGCCAGTCTTTTTGTAATACTCAATCATTCTTGATAAATCTCGACTTCAGAAATTCAGAAATTGAGTGTCACGCCCCGCTTTGGAAGGGTGCTTTCCCCTTAGCACTGGGTTGCGCTGTGGCGAAACAAGATACGGAAACTCGCTATGTTCATTTTGCGGTCGTTGATTCATTGCCATACACCGGTGCGCGGTGAGGAGCGCCCTCAACGAAGCTAGCTAGCCTGCAAAAACTGACCACGCACATGAAAAACATTGCGAAACTTCCGAGCATACTGTCAGTGTTTCATCAATATGAAATCAAATAGTACAACATCTGACGCTATATTCAAAAGTTCCGAAAATTCGCGGAAGCCTACCGTAATAATCTGGCCAAGCAGCGGGACCCGAGCTATTATATCTTCAGTGTTGTAAGTGATATTTACTTTTGGCGCAATCTTGGCGGCAAACTCCTCGAAGTTTAGCAACATGTAGCAGGATGTAGCAGGTTCAGTAGTTTGGCGTAAATGACGTAGCAATCACATCACTGCTTGTGTTACGAACATTCATTAATGATAGCTCAAGAAACTTACTATGCTCGCGCTTTTTGCTTCGTGGTTCGTTTCTTGTTATTCTTATTGGCCAATTCCGCTATTTCGTTGGTTGCGCAGTGATAATGAGATACACCCGGGACTCGCCAAAGCTTACGTTTTCTTGGCTGTCGTTGACCAATTGGAAGACGCAGCTATGAGCTGCTGGGACCGGTCAGATCAGACAACGTCAAAAGCACACCTTCACGTTGTTCGTCCTCTTTCTCTACACGTTCCATCGTTTCTGAATCAATCATAAACAAAAACGGCCATAAGACTTGCGCTTTTGACGCTGCTTGATATGTCCAATTAGCTCGTATTAGTTGCGTTTGGACGTAAGCTACATGCGACAAGACAGTGACGCAACGGTGTGGCTCCTAGCAGGAGCATTTCGCGTTGAGCACGACCAGACTGGCGTAGACATCCTGTGTTTCATTTAAGCTTGGCTTCTAAGGAATGTCAGCTTACTTAAGTGCAGCGCTATACAAAACGTTCAAAGAAACGCTAACTTTATTTTATTTTTTACGCGATACATGGATATTGAGAGCAGAGATCCCCTCCATGCGCCGGCGAAAATCGCCGCAATCATCTCAACCCCAGCACGTCTACTCGATCCGCCGGCGAGCGAAGAGCAATCTGATCATATAGAGGAGCGAAAGATACTGGTCGTGTAAATTGAATCAATTACTGCGCACTAAATAATGTTGTCTCGTAGTGATTTCCGGACTGTCGAGCACACAAACGCTTCACAGAGGCCTATTCCAGCGTGGATAAATGAAAAAACATGGCAATGTGTAGCCGTCGTTGCCGCTTATTACTGCGGGACACGCGATTGAACCCAAGGTCCGAGCAACTCCCGAGTGTCGAATGACGTCAAACCACAGAAAGGGGTACGCTAGACGCGAGTAGATCTTTTTTCTTTTTTTTTTTTTCAATTTCGAGGTGTCAAAGCTTCACCGAAACCGAACTAAATACGATAAGAGTGACGAGTCAAAACATGAAAGATAATTTATATAGCTACTGCGAAATGGCACTGCGAGAAAGCGCCTAAGGCCCTTGCAAGACTCAGCCTGAACTGGAGTCAGATTACGGACACTACGAGGCTCCATAACGCCAAAATGGCTGCTCAATTTTTTTATTGTTATTGTTTTTTTTACTGGGGGTCATTATGAACGCTTAGAAAGTTTTCTTCTTTTTTTTTTGCGTAAAAGCAAACGGAAAAAGTTTAGTCTCTAGGAGATATTAGTACAAAATCACAGGCGTGAGTTTTTTTTTAGTCTCTAGTTTACAAGGTTTTGCAGCAGAAATGATATTGTTTTTATACAACCATGTCTCACCGGCGATTTTAGGTTGCGCGTCCCGACCTGGTAATTCGCGGTAATTCGTGATAACTCGCGGCGCGTCTGCTTGGGAGACGGGAGTTGACATCTCTAAAACCCTTCTGCTTCAGCACCAAAATTGCCGATTAAAGCCAAAATAGAAAATTCACGGCGGATGCTATCAAATGCAATACTCCCGAACCAATACAAGCAGCCGCGCAGTACCCCGAGTGGCCACGGGGGAGAAATAGCGGCGTTGCGATCGCCATCAGTTCGGTTCGGAGTACGGATCGGTGCTACTTTTTCAGAGCAAACTCTATGGCACTTTGCCAACTGAGTTGTTCTAGTAACGTCGGTGAGGCCGACCCGTTTTCAAGGCAAAGTGGTGCGCTCCCTTTAGATGTAGCACGCTCCCAATATGTGTAACCGTTACCATTTTGGTAACCTATTGAAGCTGCAGTGATTGCGCCACTTTAGTTGCTTTAATCGACTGGTAGTTCATGCAACACCATACAAATGCGTGGCATTCCAACCCAAGTATACAAAAAAGTGACCAAACTTCCGGCGGGACGAAAACGATATCTGGTTCGGCCGCTTTCTGTTTCTGTATTGATGAGCAGCAATAAACATCGCGTATCTCACGTGTATTTTTTTTTTTTTTTTAGCAAAATTACGAGTATGTCGAAACTTTGACCTAGAATCGCGTGGATCGATGTGTCTCCCCCTAAAGCCCACTATGACAAGATGGTTTGTTTTTTTGTTTTGTTTTTAGGCGCGCTGACACTTTGCCCCCCCCCCCCCCCCCCGGTTCGTTGCTTAGGAACTGCGACTTAGTGCTATCGCACCTTCATTGCATTTGACGGTATGGGGGATCTTATTCTTCAGTATGAGACACGCTTCACGGCAGCGCGGAATACTTCTTAAACACGAACCCTCGAAACTGTTGCCCCCTGTCTATAACGCGCGTGATGGTTACAGGTCACGAACGCCAAGATCCTGACGCCCAACAAGAGCCTCTACCCCGGCGACATCCTAGTCATGATAGAAGGCGCGCCCGTGGAAAACATGGACGGCGCAGGCGTCAAAGCCGCGCTCGCCAAGGGTGCCAACGAAATCAACATCACCATCGCCCCCATCTCGCCGCTGAGGCTCAAGCGCCCTTCGTTCACCAGGCTGCACGAAACCGTGATGACGGACGCCAATGTCAAGGAGCCGTCCTCGATCGCCAACATCAACTAAGAGGGGCTGGGGTCGGCTGCGGAGCCAAGAGTGCGCAGATGCTGCCAAAATCCGGGAGCCACGGGCACTGTGGAATGACTCCACGACTTAAATTCAAATCATAAATAATAGGTAACCCGGGAATTTCGACCTCTTCATTTACATGACACACAACTTTTTTAGATTCGTAGAGGCGGACGGTGTGACAATAAATTGGCAACGTTCAACATTCGACAATCCTGGGATTCAGGGTTTGCGTTTAAGTCACAAAATATCTGCAGCAAAGTGGACAGTTTGAAAATTTGACAACATATATGAGTTAAATTCGTAACGACACATGGTTACGGCAATAAAGTACGATATTCAGCAGTTTTATATGCTAAGTGGATGTTTTTATTGAGTAATTATCGGTGTACTTTAACGGAAAGAATGGTTAGTCGTCAAAATAGGCGTGCAGGAACGACGGAAAAATATAATCTTTGGATTTAACGCAAAGCCTTCTCAATAGCTCCGATGCAAAGCAGTGACTTACATTTCCAGCTGCCGGGTTCAAAGTTATGTCGGGGTGCCAAAAATTTGATGTGTCTATAGTTTCAACCTAGGGGGTGAAAATTGCGATGAAAGCAACATATTCGTACGGTGAACGCACGAGATTGCTCACTCAATCTAGTTAACACTTCACTGTCGATCAATGCACTAATCAACTTTGGAGTAAAGATTAATATAACAAAATTCTCAACCAAGAGCATGAAAATTAAAATAGATACGGCACATAATCATTTCCGTGGTCAGTTTAGATAGCAGTTGCAATGTCGAACTCTTACCAAATTCCGCGTAGGCACGTGAGCAACTGAAGAACTTAAACATTTTTCAGATTTCTATATTTGTAGAATTTGTGGTGCTTCGACGTTGAGACGAAGTCCTGTAAGGAGGAATGTGGCTCTAGGGGAATGGTAATGGTGGCTCTAATACAAAAAAAGCCCATAAAAAATGCTCGGAGTTAAGTTTAGAAACGGTAAGTTTTTGTCTTATCGGCAGATACGAAAAATTAACTTAAAAATACGATACCACTTTGGTTCTACGAGCGTTGACGATGGTACTTTTTGCCATATGGTCACTTTTTGTAATGAATATTTTTTGTCTCATCTATCTCACTGGTGCTCAGGCAAAGAAGAAGAAGGACCGGCCTTCAACCGACATCAGCCGAACCATCGCCTCCTTTGCAATTCCACTGAAATATCATTTCGTGAGCGGCGTTTGACAACGGCCGGTTCCTTGGGAAATTCTGTTTCACTTTTGACAAACGACGTCAATGAACTGCAAGCCTGTGCAAGCATAATTTCGAAACCTCCAGATCATCGTCGTCGTTTGTCAACAGCTAAACAAAATTTCCTAAGAAACCGGAAGTTGCCAAACGCAGCTCACCTATAGGCTCCTTGCACTGACGTCACATCGCATACTTTTGAACACCATGTAAAAGGAGAAGAGAGAAGCTGCTTTTGTAAGAATTTCGAGTGACGGGTTAATCTTCTATAATCTTCTGGGAGGAGAATGGCGACGCCTGTGCACAAAGGAGGATCCTGATAAGATGGGAGCTCCTTCTTTCCCTTTTCTTTGGAGGGCATCGGAAATGACGTCCTGTGCAAGCCACGTCATCTTATCAGGATCCTCCTTTGTGCCTCCCGGATTTGCACAGGCGTCGCCATTCTCCTCCCAGAAGATTATCGAAGATTAACCTGTCACTCAAAATTCTTACAAAAGCAGCTTCCCTCTCCTCCTTTTCCATGGTGTTCAAATGTGTGCGATGTGACGTCAGTGCAAGAAGCCTATTGAGTGCTTGCTTAGCACGTTGGGCGCGAATGCCTACTGCCGCCTCATATATGTGCGGCGCGGATTTACCTCCTTGCGCCGCAGCCAATCCGGTGCGAGCACAGAGCTTCCATGCTTTCTCTGCCACCTTCGAAGAGGGTGCGGATGTGAAAGAGTGCGTACTGCCGCTCCGAATACGCGCGGCGCTGATTTACCTCCTTCTTTTGGTACGAGGCCAGATACGGTTACGTCCCAACCCGGCTTTAGTCTCCGTTCGCCTACTGCCTCAATTCGGCTATTGCCTCAATTCGGCTAGAAGTTTCGATTCGGCTGCACGTTCCAGTTCGGCTACATCCTCAATTCGCAAGAAGTTTCAATTTGGCTGGACGCTTCAGTTCGGTTACATCCTCAATTCGGCTAGAAGTTTCGATTTGGCTGCACGCTTCAGTTTGACTAGATCCCCAGTACACCTACAAGTTTCAATTCAGCTCCATGCTCCAGTTTGGCTAGATCTTTGTTTTATTCGGTTGGACGCTCCAAGTTGATCAAGTTGCACATCCAAGCAAAAAGTTTGTAGATAAACGTTAAGTATACCCGGCATCTCGCCTTAACATTGCAACCTGCGAGTTCAAAGCAATTAGTTCAAGCAGCTAAGAAAGCTTTAGGCACATAAACATTTGTGTTTTTGTTGTTTTCTGTGGAGCTACTGTGGCAAACGCCAGTTCTTTGCTTTAAAATATAATAATTTATCCACTTGCCCAAAGAATGGATAACAGCAATCCAAATATTGTTTCTTTTTTCAGCTCTAGCCACTGTTCGCGTGAAAAAGAACGCTTTGGAAGCTCCTACGTTTAACTGAGTTGAAGAAAAAAGAAGATACCTGCATCAGTTTTTAGACAAAATAATGTGGTGAATATCACGTCCTGCGGTGTACCTTAGACGCATCGTTTAACTACACTCCATATTCTCTACGTGCGGAGCTCAATATAAACTAACTTGGAATACGGAAATGTGTGAATAAATAGCCAAGGCACTGGTCGCACCTTCTTCAATTAGGTAGCGTTCAGAAAGGAATTCAGCGTTGGAGGACGCTTTGTTGGCATCTTGAGAGGTCATCCAGCTCGTAGTTCGTTTTCTGTCCTGTTCTCTGCTTATCAATGTTCGCTTACAGACCATGTTCTCGAGAGAAATAAGTGCCGGACTGACGACAAAAAGAAAAGAAACAAAAAAAGAAACCTGGACGTTGTGTTGTAGAGCATCAAATATACAACCAGAAAAACAAAAAATTGTCTTTTTTTTTTGTGTCCACTTCTCATTTTCTTCTATGTGTTATTTTCTTAACACTGAAGTCTGCATTTGTTGTCGTGCGTCGTTTCCCGTTCTGCATTGTGTCTCAGTGTGGCAACATTTACTTCCGTAAAATGCCACCTTTTTTTGAGGATTTTTGGGGGAAACTTTAGGAAACAAGAGGTGCCTTTAGGAAGGCGGGGTTAAAACGTCATTTTACAAACTTTGGGGTGAAATATGAGTCACAATCGGCACAAAAGCGATGTTTTGAAGAGCTCATTTTAAGTCACCGTAGCTTATCGGTGCTAGCAAAAGGATTTGGTTGCCCGAACGAATCATCACGTTTGCTCGTGCCACGCCCACGCAACTTCATACCTAAAAACTCAGAAAATAGCGAATGTCAAAAATCTATTTGAGATAGTAAGTACAAGATAGTCAGAAATGTAATTAAAATACAGTTTCAAATGCTCTCGATCAAAAGTATTTGCAAGCTACCAAGATACTTCATAATTTATTTGAAATACAGTATCTTGAGTAGAGTATTTGAGATAGGCACAATTCTGCTTCTGAGTGCACGAGCTTGGTCTCTTAATGCTTCCAAAGACCCAAAAGCAGAAGGCAAACACACGTGGATCATTTGCATTGGCTGGCCACGAGAAACTATGGTGCTTCAATGCCTCAAAAGTGTCTCAGTGCCTCAAAGTGGGAGCCGCCGTGACGTAGACATGCCAGTGAGATAGAAGAGCTTTTTTCCTCGGGCTGCACAAACACTAACATGACGCTACCCGCCTTGATGGGGGATCTCTTCGCAATTAGCTGTATCTTGTTCGCGTATCTGGCAACTTTACTGATTTCGCTCAGCGAGATACCGACGGTATGGTGCCTAGAATGTAGAGAGGGTTCATCTCAAAACCATGAGGCTTGAGATGAACCCTTCCAGCCACCATACCGACGGTGGCATCGTGACCGCTTTACTTGTTGTGTCTGGCGCTGATCAAGCACCGACGCGCACCATGCACTGCTGTAAAGCGGCAAGTACGGTGGCTGGAAGGGGAAGTGTGTCGGGCGGGAGCAAAGGGATGCACAGAGTTGCGATGAAATCGACTCGCCTCCAGACAGCTGTGCCCCTAGCGGCGGCGAAGATTTTCATCACATCACACGCGCTCTCAGCTGCACGTGTATTCAAAGGTGACATAGCTTTTTATATATTTTTTCTCGGGTTTCTGAAACTACATTCGCTGCGCACTTTTCACCCGATAAATTGGTCGTGCGCCTAAATTCCGCGAAAAACATTTTGGGGACCCCATAGAGGCTCTGCAGCAAGCAGGCGGGCCAGCGACCCACACATTTTGAAAGATCCTACATTACGGAGAGTTTCCAAGTGCTCGATCAGGTTGGCGTGGTGTATGGGCCGCGTTTGCAATACGAGCTGCGAGGAGGTGACGAACTAGCGTTGATCGTCTGCGAGCGTTTCAGCCTTTCCGCCCGCTTTCGTCCTCGCCACGCGACAACGCCGTGCATGCGCATTGGTGACCAATTTTCGCCGGTGGCGTCCGCCATTAAAATTTCAAACACACCCCATGGTTCGAGATGAACCATCTCTACAATCCAGGCTTTTTCAAAAGTTTTATCGCGTATCGCTCCCCTCTCAAAGCGCACATGCAAGCACCCTACGAGAAACATGTTTTGTTGTTGTGTTTTTTTTCTTTTTTTCCCGGAAGAGGAATTTAAACTATCAAACAGCCCCATTCCTGGTTGTAGGATCTACCGTACGTTATGATTACTACCGCTGTGATAATAGGGATTTTTAGTAGACCGTGGTCTAGAGCTGCGCTTTGCTAGCGGTAACTCGTGTCGTCACTTTGAAGCATTGATTGAGCCCGCATTTCTTGGGCCCGCTGTGCACAGTGCACGATCTACTAAAAATATCTAATGTCTGCAACGTACAACCACCAAGGAGGTTAGAAGTACTCGGAGGGGGCACGTTGCAATATTGGTGAAGCCAGTCATAAAAAGTTTAAACGATTTTGTGCCCAGCGTGACCGCAGATCTCTCTGGCGATTGGTGCGCGTGACATGTCACGTGCGAGATGGATGGTTGATTGTAGGAGGATCCTTGCAGGCTTGCGCGCGCTCCGTCCGGTAGGTTTTATCAGATCGAAAGCTAGGCTGTGGTGTATTCTAG